ATCTTTTTTATTATTTGAGATTTCAGATTTTTCTTAATTAATTAAAAACAAATCCTAGTCAAGGCACAATTTTCTCAAATCAGATTTCAAATATTCTAAATTTTCATTTTAAAAAAAGTCAACTTTAATGGGATCATAATTAAGGGGATTTTGAGGCAAAAAAATATTATTGTTATTATTATCACAAAAGCCCTTCTTTTTTTTATTCCTTTTATTTCTTTATTTTATTTATCATGTTTTTATTAATTTTTAATTTACACTTGAAAGCTCAGGTAAAATACATTGTTTACATTCTTTAAAAGTATTCTTAAAGTATAGGAAGAAAAGAAGGAAGTTTGGTAGAGATCAAAATTGTAAAAACTTTTAAAGTAGTTCATAAACTCTACATCTAATTGTTTCTGATATCTTATGATAAGTTACTAGTTTTTCATAATGATATGATAAACATTTTGATTGTTGCTTATATGTTCTTATACTTAAAAGTTTGCTTTGGCCATAAACATTAACATTTTTATTGAAAGGAAGATAATTATAATAATAAAGAAAAATAATAAGATAATAAATATAAAAAAGCCACTTAGTTGTTAGGTGAATTTATAGGATCCCTCTATATAGTTATCCATAAAAGAATCAGAAACAAGCAAGATAAACATTTGGAAAAAGCCTCTTGACTGATTTTAAAGCACACTGATACTTTGTTGAGTTTCTTACCGTTGTACATTCAATCAACTAATTTTGTCATCCTTAAAAATGTCTTAGAACATAGCCTAATCCAATTGCTTGATATTGATGAAGACATTTGCATGTAAACACATGCAAAATTTTTTATTCTTACAATGATCAACTCCATCTAAATGGGTTTTAAACACTGTAGTTAAGACTATTTTAATTTAGTCTTTTGTCATCATTTTCACGCATAAGTTCGAACACAACTTGGTTTTGATACATCTTATTTTGATTTTGATACACTTTTTATAAATGAAATGAAGAGATGGCATTGGAGTTGGTGATTAACTAACATTTTAAATATTTTTATTCCTTTTTTCCCTTGATTTTTGTAATGTTGCGAAGTTTGAATCAAAATACAATTTTTCTAGAGTTTTGAACCAAGTAGTCATTTCCTAGTTTCCTTATGTCTTTCCCAATTAAATTTTTGAAATTGCCAATTCATTAAAATCCTTTAAAATTCTTTTATTCTCATCTTTTTCATTTGAATTTTAGTATTTTTCTAGCATTTTTCAGATTTAAATTGGCATTTATTAAGTTATCCAATCATTTGTTTTAGTTTAATCTCCATTTATTTTACAACATATTTTATTTTAGATTTATTTTATCGCCATGTTTCATTTGCATGAACATTTTTTGAGAAGACATTAAGCAGTTTTAATAATTATTTTCAATTCACATGTTGATAAGGAGGAGAGTGTTTTACTTTCTAGGTTTTGATAATATATAAAATCTAATGTATTTCAATAGTTTTAACTTTCCATCAACTTGATGCTTAGATCCTAAGATGAGATAAGACTGGCGACATGCTAAAATTACATATGTGTCCTTAAGTTGTTAATATGCTTAAATTTGTCTTTCTTTGGGTTGAGATATATTTAAATTATTTGTTAAAAAAGCTTACTATTTTATTTCAATATATTGAAGAAAATGATTTTGATTATTGGCAAAACCTACCCTTCATAAAAGAAATAATCAAATTACATGAATTTGTAGTAACTATGCAATTTATCATAATTTTAAGAATATTGAAATATACTATAATTTTTTTATGATTTACTAATTATTAATATAAATATAAAAATTAAATTAACATTAGTTTAGTAAAGTAGAAGAGATTTAATTTTCTTTAAATAAGGTTAAAAGATTAAATTAGGTAGATAAAGAATATATGTTTTAAAAGTTATTTTTAATTGAACTCAATAAAAACTTAAATTTATTAATTGTTGCTTCGTTTTTCTTCTTTTTCTTCTTCATCACCTTTATATCCTTTTTTCCATGGGCTCTTCAAATCAGTTCCTTGATCATGATTGGTGCACTAATCACTATGTTTTTGCGAAAGTTTGTGATAGCAAAAGATTTCACCCTTCCAAGTTTCAAGCATATATTTCTCAGGTTTGGAAACTTGGAGGGGAAATTCGGATTATTCAATATTTTAACAATCACTTTCTAATCTTTTTTAGTTATTCTGATAATCTCCACTTTGTGTTACTTGGTGGTCCTTGAAAATTTAATGGTTGCTCGGTTATTTTGCAAAAAGTAGCAACCATTTATGAGGCTTCGAGATCTCTCACTCTCTTTAGTCCCAGTTTGGGTTAATATTCATGGCCTTCCTATAGAGTTTTATTATGCTTCTTTTGCTTCTCAAATAGGTGATTCCATGTACTTTTTTATCTTATGATGAAATCCTATTCTTCAAGTTGCTATGGATTAAAGATTAAAGTACTGTTGGACGTATCTAAGACTCTTAAGTTGGTGGATGTTCTCATTTTTGAGTATGGGCATCATTTAAATTTTGGTAATATGAACAATTTAATGTGTTTCAATTACCACCAGGTGGGTCACGTTCATTGATAGTGTTAGAACTTAAGAATGTGTAGATCCATATGTGTGTGATGACTTCTCCTTTTATTAGCACAAACTGATACTTTTTCCATGATTCCATGCTCCACTTTCTTAAGGCCATTTTGTGTAGTTTCTTCCAAAATTTCCTCTACTTTCATTTTCCAAAAAGGTGCGTGGGAGAGTCTCCCTTTCAGCCACCTCTTTTCCACAAATTGGATTTTAGCCCAAATGATTGGACTTGGATCAAAAATTACATTTTAATCCAAACAATTGTCAAAACTAACATATTGAAATAAGACTAAAAAAGATCATTGACGTATGGTTTCCAAGGGCTATTTATCTAGAAATATGTTCATAAGGGGTAAAAATGTCCAAAGGGGCTATTCTAGAAGTTAAAATATAAAAAAAGGACATTTTTGAAAAATTAGGTAAGCAATGTGGCCAATGTGTCACATCATGTAGCACATGATGATGTAACATTCCAAAAACTTAATTCAAAAATTTATGATATATTGAAGGTTAAGTTATTAAATTAGCAAATTAATTAAGCTAATTATATTTCTAAATCATTAATGAACTTATTAGAACATTAGACACCTTTGGAATAGGGTCATGATGGTTATGAGGCCAATCAGGCTCAAATGAGCCATCCACCACAATAAATGCCTCGAGCGTTAAACGTGAAAAACATGAAGGAAAAGAAGAAAACGGGAACATGAAGGAGCACAACTTGGGAGTTGTTAAGGTTAGCTTGGGGAGTTCTTAGGAGGTGATTTAAGTGAAGAATCAAGCTTTCCATTCTTCCTCTCCACCTCTGTTTATGTGTTTTCTATGGTATTGGATGCGTTAGAGGTGATGACTTCATCTCTCCTTGGAAAAGATCTGAACTTGTTGAGCTTGCTATTAGGAGTTAATTTAGGTTTCTATATACATAGTTAGTGATTTTATAGTTTTTTTGAGTTGAGCTCTAAGGTTTAGATAAACCCTAGCCTTGAATTTGATTATTGGAAGTAACGTAGACTATAAATTAGTATTTTTTAACCTTATGGAAGCTCAATAGAGCTAATAGAAGATTGTTAAAACTTTGATTATGGCAATGATAAAAGTTAGAAACTATGAGTAGCTAATTTGAGCTAAATAGTGTATATATTAGAGTTGAAAATTGACAAATAGTGTTTAATTATGTAGATCATATTTGCTCGAATACCATTTGAGCAAGTGGAAGCTAGAGGTGTATGTAAATTCTCTGAGTAATCCCTTTAATAATAAAAGTGTTAAGGTAACTGGACAATTTAATCCTTTTATTCACTTAGCTTGCTTGGATTGTTTTTGAGTTTTGTCAAACTTTAATACATTGCTTTGGTATGTATTTATATTTAGAGAATCATGCTTGTTGTTTTAGAAAATTATGTGAAGTGGGAATAGTTTTGGAATAAATTACATACATACATACATATTATCTTGCAAAAATGTTTTTAAGGAAATTGTTGTTATGAGTTGATCACTAAATTGTAAATTGTATGAAAAGTGTTGTGTTAATTATAAGAAATTGAGAGTATGTACAATTACTTGTATTGTATTGTTTGGCATGATCATATTATGAAAGGGTGAAAATTTACCTTAGGAAATTAGGGAAAATGACCACTGAGCCTCTGTTTCCACATTTAATTCTTTTGTGTTTGTTTGCCATGCTTTCGTTTCATTTTTTATACTTTATTTTCTCATATATTTGAGTTCAAAACGATTTTAAAGAGGGTTCATTGAGATCCTAAATTGAAAATGTTTTAAATTATTAATTGTAGTTTAACCCTGTTTTATCATGGTAAATAAAATGAGATTAATCAATTCCTAATTATCATGACAAGGTGTATGGGATCATATGTATGATAATGCCAAAACAGATATTACATATAATGTAAAAGGCCAAGCGTTGAGGCGAAGCCTTCATTTTCAGCAGCTCATGCCTTGGAGAATTTAATCCTCTCTCAATTGTGCGTCGTTACTAAAATAACATGCGTTATGACACACAAAATAACAAAATGAACAATAACAACAAATTTTAAATAGGCAGAAAAAGAAAAATTATTTTTTGAAATAAACTTTCATTTGCAAAAATAATCTTAAAAAGAAATTCAAAGCGACGAAAATATTTTTCTAAACCTAAATTCGAATTCCTATTTCACAACTTGGACAAAAAATTATAACTTCATAAAATAAAAAATATATGATATTTACATGTAAATTTGAGGGTCGGGTCAGTTTGATGGATTAACAAACCAACTTGTAGACCCAAAAGGTTGATCCAATACGCCGTTCTGACCCATGTCGCAAAATCTGGTTACGGGTTTGGTTTTGACCCGAACCGGTCCTGACGCATGCTTCAGCTCCGGTGACTCGAGCGAAGGGGCACTACGCACTACGATGTCGAAGTAAAGAGTCTCAATAGTAATCTATCGAGGATTCAGTCATCAACTCCGAAGACGGAGATAGCGGAGGCTGATAGAGATGGAAGTGGAGTTGGAACCTCGGGTGAAGCCACTGCCCTACAAGGTCAAGGCCATGTCTAGGGAATCGCCGTCGCAGAAGGCGGCGCACGTCCTCGACACTGACCTTCGCACTCACTGGTCCACCGGGACCAATACAAAAGAATGGATTTTGCTTGAACTTGACGTACGTATTTTACTCCAGGGACCTCTTTTTCCCGGTTTCATAATCACTTACTGCTTTTCTTTCTGCTTTATCTGTGGTTCAGGTGATTGCTTGTTTGGTTTTTGAGAAACCGCCAGGAAAAACTTTGATTAAAGTTGTGTTTTTTAGCTTTGATAGATCATTAACATGATTAACTGTGCCTTCTGTGTTAATTGTTTAGTTGGCGCTTTCTACCTTGTTTAACTTGTTGGAATTAAACCCAAGCGTTGCTCAGAGTTACAGAGTCTTTTGCTTTTAATGCTCAATTTTTTGGTCAGAAGCATAAATGGGTGGAATGAGTTCGCAGTTGCTGTACTTTACCCCTTTTTCTGGAGCAAGTAATTACGCACACGCTCTAACGGATGTTGTTCATTTGTGATGACAACTGTTCCCTTTATTGAAATGTCATTCACATCTCTACGAATTCAGCAGTGGTAAGCTGGATAAAGTATTGAACAAAGGTTATCTAACTGGCGCACATGACAGATAGGGCCATATGGTCTGGTTTTTAAACGCAGAGATTAGCAGTCATCTTTGAATCCTTCTATTTTTATTCACCTACAGGATTTTGGGTAGAAGGAGTGTGCACGGCTTAGAGGGAATGTTCTTTTATTTGCTGGATTGTGGATTCACAGAATTTCTTAGCACAACTCGTTATGAGCAATTTTCTTCCTAGGTCCTTTATTGATTTCTTCTTACTTGATCTAGAGCCTTAATGATGGGGAGCCTTCCAAGTTGCCTTTTGAATTTACTTGATTCCTTTTGTATGTCAAAGGCTCCTTAAGGGGCTAAACTCTTTATATCTTGGTTGCAGGATCAATGGGATTAACACATAATCTGTTCCAGGCTTGTGGGCCACATAAGGTTCTGTCTTCTGACATTTATATGTTGGATGTTAGCATTCGATTGTTCCTCACTATGAAATGGGTGGGCGGTTGTAGATCAAGGCTTTTTTTTTTTTGGGTGAAGCTTTTGGTTTGTTACTGGTGCAAAGGACAAATAAGTTGCTCTTTCACATTTATTTTTTTAAGGTTTTGGAAAGAGTAAGGAAGTGGTTTTATGGTCGTAGCTGAACTAGCTGTATAATTTTATTATGCTAAAGAGTAATAGTGGAGGATTTGTTGAAACTGTTATATTTAGTTTATGATTGATCTAAAGGTTGGGGTTTTCAATTTGCTAGTCCAGTTGGTTTTGCTTTTTGGAGACAGACTTGTGTTTTTGGCCTCATTTGAGTGTTTAAGCGATTGATTATTTGGGGTTTTTGCTTTAATTGCCTTGGAATAGTATTGTAAGTTTTATTGTGTAGCTAAGAATAGGTGAGATTGTGACAGCCATGTTAAAATAAGTGTATTGATGAATGATGACTCATTGGTGGGGCTTGAACTTTTACTCTCCTTTTACTTAATTTGTACGTAGGGAAATTTGGTGCTTGGCCAAGTAATCCAAGATCCCATTTAGATTACTTTTATTTCCTTTTTCTCTATTAATAAGATCTTTGTTTATTAACTTTTTTTTTTTTTGGCTAAACTCTCAACATTTCTCTATTTCTTTTCCTTTTTCCCTTTCCCTTTCCCTTCCCCCAATTTTTTTTTTTGGCATCCAATTTACGGGATACGGCGTGCACTCATTCCCTTCACAAAGGTTACTACATTAGGATGATCTTGTGCACTCTAGGATTTGCATTTGATTAGGGTTTGCAAAAGGTAGTTTGGAGGGAGGCTTAGAGGATGGGTTCTAAAAGGGGAGGTTATAACTGGCCTATTAATCCATTTGCAACCTGTGTAAAAATCTCAAAATATAAAAAGGCAGCTTGTTCATTACTTTTTTATTTGGGTGTACAATGAACCTGTTCTTTATATTTATTATCATTAATATTTCCTAAAATACGCATCTTTATGTTATGTACTACATGGTAGAGAGGGAGTTTATTGTTATGTGATAAATGATTGAGAGGGAGTTAGTTAAGGGGCATTAATGGGTAGTTAGCTTGCTTAGTTGATCGGGGTCAAGGCTTTGACTATAAATATATGACTTTGTTAAATTGTAATCAGGTTTTGGATTAATAACGCAACGCATTGAGTTCCTTTTCTTTGTTTCTCTCTCCTTTCTCTTTCTGATCACCACTCTACATAAGTTTACGTTACTTTTTCTTTGCATATTCTTGGTCTAGTTGTCTGTAGTAACTTTTGCTATTGATTAATGATACTCAAAAGCTTGCAAAGATAGACAAAGATGATATCAAAGATTCTTGAACCTATTATGTAGGGTAAAATTGTAAAGGGAAAATTGTTCTTAGGTCTCACGCAAGAAATCTAAATGCAAAAAAGTTCCATGGAATCATAAAATTACTCTGAAATTCCATATCCTTCACTGAAGTTGTCAATTATTGTTTGATAGTTGTTAATTATTATTGCTTAGTTGTCATTGAACAAATCTACTAACAACTATCAAGCAGTAATTGACAACTTTGATATAATTAATTGACAACATTAGTAAAGAACACAAGACTTTTGAGTAATTTTGTGATTTCATTTTTTTTTTTATTTAGATTTCTTGTGTGGGGCTTGAGATAATTTTCCCAATTGTAAACTGTCAATTGGTGGATAGACAGACTCCAAAGTCTAGGCTGAGTTGGCCTTGAATTTATTTGACTGATTGATACAAATGGCTTAATTGGTTTTGTTTCTTGGTCATGTTGTAATGGATTTGTTATTTTCTTTGGAATTGATTGTTTAGCCACCTTAAAAGGGCTTTGTATGGAGGCTTGTGACTGACATGGAATTTGAGTGAAGTGCCATCTGGTAAAGTGTTGTAGAATACCAGCTGTTAGGATGTTGATTCACCAAGGGTGGCCAATTGATGGTGAGTTGTGTAGTTTGGGATGCTTATGCCCCACTTAAATTGTTTGGGATGGTTAATGTTATTTAAGTAGGGAGGTTTCGTACATCGATAGCTAACTTTTAGATGAGGGCATCCCACTTGAGTAACCACTGAATTACAATAGGCAATTGAAGCTCAACCAGCCCCTTTGCTTGTGATATGACAGCTCACTAGTTTTTTAATATTTAATTATATTTTATTCTGAATCCTCGTGATTGTTAAATAATGCTTATATTATTATTTTTTTTTTTTTTGTCACAGGAGCCTTGCTTATTGTCACATATACGAATATATAACAAGTCTGTGCTTGAGTGGGAAATTGCAGTTGGCTTACGTTACAAGGTTAGTGGCTTAAAGTTGTCCAATAATTCATCTTTGTTGCTTTTTATCTTTTTTCTCCTGATTTTTATAATATTTAGTGCTTAACACTTAGGATCAGATGTAACCAGCAAGCTTAACACTTAAAGGATCAGATCTGGTGGTTTAATGTTCTACATCATAATTTAGATGTAATGTCTGGTTCTCTATTTTAGGAAGGTCATTTTTGATTTGTTTCTTCATTATCTGTCTATTGGAGCTTTAATGGTTCTGTCCATTATAGTGTTTTCTTGCCTTAATGTTGATTTCTTTTCCTTTTGGCATCTGTTTAGCGCTGAGCTACCCTTTTTTTATAGCTTCAGTTTGTTGTACTTAATATGCTTATGTTATTGAATTTGTAGTATTATTTACATGGCATGAGAGCCACATTGACTTGGCCCCTCGCATGCCTAACTGTTGTTGGGATGCAGATTAGAAATCACAGCTGAAATTAAAAATTTTCCATCTTGCCTGGGATTTTGATGAGCATTCTTGTATTAGATGTACATAGGGGCGATACTTTCTTGATTGGAGATGTCACAGAGTGTTGAATCACTGTGGGGAAATAGTATCCTTGGCATCTATACAAATTAGTCAGGACCCTGCTCAGTGTTTTTGCTAGAAGACTCTGTATTTAGGCATTCTTGGAGATTCTCTCCTTGCACTCTAAGTGACTCTAGGGAGCACACTAAATGTGTCTTGCATCATGATTAGTTTTTCCCTAGATGCTATCTGGATAGCTCTAGGGTTTTCCTTAGGCCTTCTTAGAGGTTTACAGCAAACTGATGATGAATAGTGTGATGGGCTTTAATTATTGGCCCAAATGCCTAATCTCACTATGGCTAGTAACTAAACAATAATGTAGTGTAACCCTTTTGGGCTTTAATTATTGGCCCAGCTTTATTGTGGCTAATAATAAAACCAATGTAATTTATTAAATCCCAAAATTAAGAAGATCATTGTTCGACATTACTATATGACTTTCTTTAGTCAATCTACTAAAACACAATTGTTTTCTTTTTTTTCCCATGAAAAGTTGAAACACCAACTGTTTCCATCAATATTTTGTATGTGAATGATGCTCTATAAAGTGAAGGGTTAGTCTTCAACTTTGTCTTGTTTGTTAATTTCTATGCTCTAAAATTATTCATTTTAGTGAATGAAAGTATCTTTATCCCTTACTAATCAATATTTGCTTGTCAGCCAGAGACTTTTCTGAAAGTTCGACCACGCTGTGAAGCACCTAGACGTGACATGATCTATCCCACAAACTACACTCCATGTCGCTATGTGAAAATATCTTGTTTGCGTGGAAATCCCATTGCCATTTTCTTTGTCAGGTCGGCTGTTAAAACTTTTTTCCTGTTGCTCTTTTTTTTTTAAATCTTTTTCCTGTTGCTCCTAGTCAATGCTTTTATGCTGTCAATATCTTTACTTATGCTATTAAAATCTTATGAAAAGAAACCTTTTGAGAAATAAATATGAGGGGAAAGCTTATATATTTAGCTTTATATACTAAGGTGCTTGTTTCCAATTAAATTAAGAATGTATCTCTTAATATTATTTATTCTATAACAAATTCTTGTTATTAATATTATTAACACATTAAAATTCACATGTATTAATTTGATTGGATAAAAGTATGTTAAGTATATAAGGTTAAGTGTATATAAGTCTTACCCTAAATATAATTATGAAAGGGGGATAAGACAGCCTCCTAAAAGAGAACAATGCATAGAAAAAGGGAAAAAAGAGAAAAGAATAAGTGAGCTTAAACAAATAACAATGTTGCTCAGTCTCTGTTCATATCAGACATAGGTAATCTGTGAAATCCTATAAGTCATTTACACTCGATGAAACACCTTTGAGTATCTCATCATTCCTTTCCAAGTCCAACACAATACACCAAATCACAGCGAAAAGTGCCTATTGCCATGGAACTTGTCCATCTTTGTCATGGCTTAGTCTTATTTACTGGATCATTAAAAAGTGATCCAAAGTTTTGGGATGCTAGACTCTCATAAAAAACTACCATATTCCAAAGTGAGGTATCAAAGTACAGTACAAGAACAAGGGCTCAATTCTTTCTTATTTAGCCTTACATATAAATGTATGTTCCAGGGAATCATCCTGTTGTGCCATGAAACCTACAAATTCTCACTTGGTATTAACTCTTTTGAGTTTGACTATTGGGAGGCCACCCATATGATTTCCTCTATAGTGCTGTTTTATAGTTTCAAATTGCTTTTACGAGATGAAATAGTGTCTTATTTGGGATACGAAACAAGAAAATTAAAATAAGACTAGCAGCAAAGGTCCAAATCTCGTATTTGAAGAGGAAGAAAGATGAATGAGTGACAATGCCTCAAATTTATGAACTTATTTGCAGAAGTGATTTCTACTGAAATGAAAATTCTGAGAAAACTTATCCTGGTGAAATGACAAAATAGGAATAGGAGGTTATAAAACAAATAGAATTGAAACAGATTTGGATGAAGCTTTACAAAAAGGAACATTTTCTCCTGAAAGTTCTTCATAAATGCTAATTCAAAGATCGTCAATTTCTCTAAGGGTTGTAAGGTTTAGAAGAGATGTAATCTTGAGTCTTGTAGCCAAGTATGCTAGAATAGCTCCCATCCTTTCCACAACAAACCAAGCTTACTCTGAGTAACCTTTAGAGTAAAACCATTCTTGTGGAAAATTTCATAGCCTTTTACCTGCCACTGCCATATTTATGGAAACTAAGTTTTGAAGATCTAGGCCTTCTTCTTTTTCATATGACAGACAAGTGGCTTTCCTCAGCTTGCTCATGCTGACAGAAGAAAATCTGTCGCAATCTTATTGAATTTCTAGACAACAGCCAGTGGGGTTCTTTAAAGAGGATGATAGTGTGTGAGATTACTAGAGAGACAAGATTAGGAGTGATGTGGCCACCTCATGGGAAGAACAACCTATCTTGATTTTAGATACCTTTTGAACAACTGGTCCTAGAAAGTAGGTTACCCTTACTCTTGGAAAGTATACTTAAGATTACCTCCAAAGTTATACATTGATATGTTTGAGGCCCTTTAAGAACTTGACAACTGTCAGAAGCAAAGAAAGATGGATGATGAAGAGAACATTCTTAAAACTGCAACCCTATCCTGCTGTAGAAAAGCAAATATGTAAATGAAGGTGAATGATGACAACTTGTTCTAAAGTTGGAGCCAATTCAATTTAACCTCTTCTGAACCAACTTGTAATCCCTTACAAGACCTGTTGGATAACCCTAAAATGCATTCTAGTGGATAGATCATCCACAGGAGCTAGAATAAAAGGTGCCCTTGTCTAACTATTTGCTTCCCTTGAAGCCAGGATTTGGGCACTATTGACAATCACTGATGCTGCTGAAGAAAGATAACCCAAAATCCACCCTCAAGTGGTATGTCTAATGTGTTACTTGAAACACGAGTTGCTCCACTGGATTAATCACCATAGACACCCCAACTGAAATTGCATGAGCTAAACACCATGAAATTTTCTTGTAACCTATCCTTATCCACCAAAAGTAAAAAGCATAAATTATTGCTTGTATATGATTTGATATATGCATTAATCCTGTACATAAAGGCATCTCCAAAAGGCACATAAAATGACTGTCGTCTTCATGGGTTTATTAATTTCTTGTGACTTTCTTTTGTGACTGAGTGTACATAAAATGACTGTCATCATTATGATTTTTTCTAATTTTTTGTGGGCTTCTTTTGGATTGAGTGTTTGTACTTAGTTAAATTATTCCAAACTTCTGTTTCGAAATATGAAATGATTCAGTGATGAGCTTTTATTTTACCTTCTGTCTGTTGCAGCTTATAGGAGCTTCTGTGTCTGGTCTGGAACCTGAGTTTCAACCAGTTGTTAATTATTTGTTACCTCATATTATATCCCACAAACAAGATCCTCATGATATGCATCTCCAGGTGGGTTACACTGTCATTCCATCACCATCCTTATATGTAATCTATTTCTTTGTTATTTTATGAAGCATGAATGCCTCAAAATGAGCCCAGCAGTGTCCTTACCTTTGTTTGACATAAGTTGGATACTTGTATTGGACACTAATGGCATTTCACATTACATATGGACATAGATTTGGTTGTGTGACCATGTTTGTGTCATGTCCTGTGGTTGTGTCAATGTTCATTCTTTATTCATTATTGTTTGTGTTTGCTTTCTGAATTCTAATGTTTCATGGTTTGTAGTTGTTGCAAGACATGACAAATCGGTTGCTTGTGTTTCTTCCACAACTAGAGGTAAAGTGAATGAATTCCTTCTTGATTTCTCTATGCAGATCTTCTTTCCACTGCTTTCCCCTTATGACACTATGCTATTTAGTATCACATTTATATAATTTCAGGCAGACCTTACAAACTTCCTTGACTCTCCAGAGTCTAGCATACGTTTTCTTGCCATGCTTGCGGGTCCTTTTTATCCTATTCTTCATGTTGTAAATGAAAGGTTAGTTTTTCCCTCTTTCTTTGATGATATGATCTTAATGGTTCTGATTTTTCTAATAATAGCAGTTCTATAAAGTCTAGACTGGTCAGCGGTCATTGAACCAGTAGACAGAGTAGCTTGTAGTTTAATGGTCTAATGATGGACAAATGCATGCTTTTCTATGAGACAAAATCCTGCTTTTTGTCCCAATTATTTTGGCTGTGTGAGTTTGTCCTATACCTTTCGTGAAAGTTTCAATTCTTTTCTATCAGCAAATCATGTCTAAAATCTAAATGATTGATGAAAAATGCGGATATATTTCTCAAGTGTCTGAATGGTTTTTATTGGGGAAACATATTACCTAAAATGAAAATGATGGCTAAAGTAACCACCTTTCCATCACCATCTCTCTATTTGCGTAAATGAAAATTTTAGGCTTTCAAGCATCCTTCTAGAATTTCTTCTCCCCAAGCAAACTAGGAAATTCAATGTCTAGTTGAGGAGAACCAGTTCTCCCATGCGTCCCATTAAAGTGCAAGCTTCTTTATCTTGATGGTATTCTGAACTGTTCATGCCTTCACGGTTTGGACTTTTGAAAAGTGAATTTATTGATGTAATATTTTATTCAAATGTATTGACGGAATTATCTACTTGTGATGCTAAAATTGCTTGTCTGTAAGGCCTTCTCACCATGATTTGGACTGGCATTACTGATTACTAATCATCTAATTGGCATTACTGATTTGGTTTGTCTTCACGAAGACAGATAATGTTTTTTCGATATAGAAGAATAATTCTGAAAGAGAGAAGTAGAGAGAGATAGGGAGAAGAACAGAGGGGAGAGATTCAAATAGTCGAGAGAAAGAGAAAGAGAACGGGAGAGACAAAGAAGAGTGACTGAATAGTGTGAAACATTATCATTAGGAAATCAAAGGTTGAATCACAGAGTTATTCATCTATTTATAGGTTTCTATCTCTCACCAACCCCCTACGGCTATTTATTATTTAATCACTACTATCACTAACTAACTAACTAACTAACACTAACAGCAACTAATATTTCCATATTACAATTTATATAACATTTATCTTCCCGTTTGCCACAATCTGTGAATCAAATGCTTGGTTCCTTGTTAGAACCATGCAAAAAACTCCTTTGACAAAACCTTCTGTTCTAAACCTACTAGACTTTTAAGCTATCAATATGTTAAGTCCATATTGGCTTTGGGCTTTGAGTACTTTTAAATAATGTAATTAGGATTGTGGATTAGGATGATGTTTGCAAATATTTATTAATTAATCCATAAAATTTCCCAATATTTGCTTTGGTAAATTGCTTTATCATGAGTACTTGTGCAATTGCAGGACAACTTCGAAATCTCCTGGCAGTATAGACTTCAATGCATCCAAAAGCAATCAATTGTCACCAACTCTAACTGTTTCCACTAACTTTGAGGTAGTTTCTACAATGCATCCAAAAGCTAGTATCAGAAGTTTATTTAACTCCCTTGTATCAAGTTTACAAATAACAAAAATTGTCATCTTCCTTAAGTTGCTTGTTATCCTTTCCCAGAGTATTGAGATGTGGCATTGTTGCTCAGAAGTGAATGTTTTTCTCTGTGTATATATATATATATTTTTTTTTATTGGAGATGGGTTATGGTTTAAATGGGTTCTGAATCATTTCTGTGGTCAATCCTGTAAATACATGCATTCGTTATGCTACATTTTGACTTCTCATAATTTCCTATCCCTGTGGCTGTGCGATGTTACTTATATTTTTTAATTCTCTTAGCTTTCCATGCACTGTTCAAGTGATGGTCTATTTCCATATCTATCTTTTCCATTCTTTTGCTTCTCCATTTTCTTTCCATGCAGCCAAGGAGATCACGAGGTGCATCACCTTTCATTTTGTCTACAAACAGTTGCATTGTTTTCCGGCCAGATGCAATTTTTGTGCTGCTAAGAAAGGCATATAAAGATTCTGATCTAGGATCAGTTTGTAAGATGGTATGTCATTGTCTCTTTTCACTTTGGAGGAAAGGAGCTCTCTCTCTCTCTCTATATATATATATATATAGTGTTTAATCCCTTGCTTCTAATGTGTTTATGATAGAGTACCAATTCGTGAGGAAAAATGGGTGATTTGGGAAGTTAGAGAAATATTAGAAATTAATATTATTTTTAATTTATTTTAGATATTTTCAATCTAAATAATATTATTAAATTAATTGTTTTCTATACTTGCCAAAAAATTTAAAGTCATGTTGTAAAAAAGGATACCAACAATGCTAGACTTACAATTTGAAGAAAGACAGACTATAGCCTCTTCTCATTATGATGCATCATCAATGTATGGGTAGAACATAGATGGATATAGCAAATATGAAATAATGGCACTTAGTAAAGATATACCCCACTGGTCAGGAACGGAGATATTTAGATAACACAGCACAGTTAATCTATGCTATAATAAAATCTTTTGTAGGAGAGCCAACAGGAATGCAAGAAAGATATTGAGAAGAATTCATGAATTTGCAATGTCCTACACTAGCAGATTTTAGATGGTATAAAAATAATTTTATTCCTAAGCTATATCAAAGACAAGATGCTAATTTAGATATTTGGAAAGAAAATTTTATAGCAGGATTACCTAAGCTATTTGTAGAAAGAGTAAAAAAATGAAATAAGAGAAAGAGGAGGAGGAACAATAAATTATAATGTTTTAACATCTTACAGATAATTAATATGTTTTAACATATTACAGATGATTAATATCATAAATATAACAGGTTTAAAGTTATGTAATGAAATAAAAATGCAAAAGAAAATACATAGTGAAACAGACAAGGAAGACTAGAGTTAAGAAATTTTTGTGAACAATATGGATTTGAAAAGATACAAGCCCCTTCTAGGAAAAATAAGAAAAGAACATATGTATACAATATCCATATAAAAGATGTATAAAATATTTCCCTAAGAAATATAACAAAATATGGAACCATTTAAGGAACTGATGTTGGTCTTGGACTTACTCTCTCCAGTCAACTTTCTAGCCAAGAGGTTTAGAGTAAAATGGTGGGATAAATACAACCAAGAATTTGCAAGCACAAAAGTAGTTCTTGGGTGGATTAAAACCACTATTAAGGCAATTCCAAAGCAAATTAAAGAACAAGTGGCTGCATCAACTGCCTTTCTAGCAGAAAAGAACAAGTTGATGACCTAGTTGGCAGCTGCCAAAACAGAAGAGCTCTTATACAAGAAGTAGCATCCCAAGCATTGCAAGTAGCTTTGGATGTAGGGTCCTCCACACAAGACATAGATGATGAGGATATATTCGACGCTGACTTTGAAGACTATCAATTGTTTGCTAGCAGGCCAAAGAGGAATGGGCTCTTTTATACAAGAAGTAGTATCCCAAGCATCGCAAGCAACTTCGGATGTTGGGTCCTTCACACAAGACATAGGCGATGAAGATATATTTGGTGTCGACTTTGAAGACTATCAACTGGTTTCCGACAGGCAAAAGTAGCAGAAGGAAAAGTCATTGACAGAATAAAGAAATGGCAAACAAAAGTGGCCGTTAGTTGAAAAGAAAGAAAAGGAAAAAGAGTCATGAGTGAAAAAAGACAAAGAAGAAGACAGAAAAATATGCTAGAAGAAGAAAAAGAAAAAGAAAGTCACGGGGTGGAATATTGCCAAAAGAAAGATAATTATGCAGCATCAAAAGCAAAAAGAAATTCAAATAGCCTCAAGAAAAGTAAACCGAGTAAAATGTTAAACAAGATTCTATATTGAAAATCAACACTATAAATAGAAAACAAAAACAAATAAACTATCTCAATAAAGAGATACATTATAAAAGAACGGAAGAACAAATGGAAAAATTCAAAATAAAAAATAGGATAAATGAAATAAGAGAAATTTGAAAAAAAATATTTGTGTTGAACATTCAAACGTTTTTTGGAATAGAAAAGGACACACAGTAGAATTACCATATAAAGAAAACTTTAATGAAAAACAAATATCGACAAAAGCTTGACCCATACAAATGAAGTATCTAAAATAAATTTAAAATAATATTTATATCTAATATTTCTCTAACTTCCCAAATCACCCATTATCCTTCATTAATTGGTACTCTGTCATTTTCTCTGACCATATCTTTGATATGTTCTTTAGGTGTCGAGAATCATGCAGAAGCTCATTGGTCCTGATTCAGTTCAAGATGCACCAAATTCTCATAGTGAAGTGACATCAGTCGTGGATGAGACATCAAACAAGGAAACATCTAGTTCTTTCACCTTTCCTGATTATTCAAACCTGTTTGGTGAAGAGTTCCAGATACCTGATCAGCAGTGGGATTACAGCTATCTTAACATATTAGATGTGGGGGCAGTGGAAGAAGGCTTGTTACATGTTCTTTATGCTTGTGCATCGCAGGTTACTTGCTGTAATTTGATATAACATACATGATCCCATTATATTTTCATAGTTTGCATTATATGATGTACACTCTTAACTATCTGCACTTTCCAGCCTGTTCTTTGCAGCAAGTTGGCAGAGAGAACTTCTGATTTTTGGGATCTACTGCCACTTGTACAAGCTCGGCTTCCAGGTTGAGTGTTCTTTATAGACCGCTGTTTGTGGTAGTCAAAGGCTTGGGTGTAATGACTTATCGAAAGGGCGTTATTGCTTTCATGCCTGTTGTGTTTTGCTCAATGATACGACCCTTTTGTTTGATATTAAGGGGGATTAGACAACATCATTATTATTTATTTATTTATTTAAAATTGATTGTTCTTATCTTTTCTTTTCTTGGCTGGCCTTTTAGGAGACTGTCTTATCCTCCTTATGTGTAATTCTCTTTCTTTCCATTGTAATTTCTTTTACTATCTCAGAGAAGGATGAATGCTATGTAAAGTCATTTGTCAATTTTTCTTTCATAATAACAACGCGTATAATAGTTGGGAACTTGGAATTCATCCTCAAACTTAGAAAATCCTGCAAGAATTTAATTTAAAGTGATTTGGGATGTGGTATTTATTAAGCATTAAGGTTGTCATGGCGATTTCCGATCACTTTTCTTACAAATGCTTGGTTGATATGTTTGACACTTGCTTTGGTGGCTTTTTTTTTAGCTTTACGCCCATGTGTGAGCAGTCCTTTTGACATCGTTGATGATACGTTTTCACCATGGATGCAACCTGTTGTGCAACATGCCTTATCTCAGGTTATATATGAACTGCTTTCATTTAGGCAGAAATGACATGGTGTTTTTTATGTTATCTTTGCAAAACTCCAAGACAGCTTCATACTACCAATTATATTTGTTGTCCTCGCAGATTGTTGCAACAGCAATGTCAGAAGCTTACCGATCACTTCTTCATGCTTGTGCTGGCTATCTGTCATCATTTTCACCATCTCACGTTAGTCAGATAACTATCATTAGTTTTCCCAGTAGGAGTTTATTCATCACCTCTCATCTAATGCTTGATTTGCAACACATTATTCTGTCGTTTCTTTAGTCAACCATGCATTTTCCTTTAATCTTCTGATATAAAGAAATTGATTGGAAGTTTGATTCATTTTCTATTGCTGTTACTTTGCTGAATGTTTAATGGCAAAATACATGTTAGGTTTTTTAACACAGGGATGGGGTTACATGAATGGTTACAAGGGAAGATAGCTGGTTGACGTCATTAGTGATTTTGGAGAGAGAAAACCCCCCATAGTTTTCTTCAAGCTCTTGCTTCTTGTTAGGCGCGTGCCTTGTGTCCTTGCATTTATGTCTCCTCTTTGATAAATATCTCATCTAAGTTCTCATGGAATTATTAGATAATATTATTTCGTTTCTTCTTTCCCTGGATCAAGATCCTATGTAGGATTTGACATGGGCTAAATGGATCAAAATGGGAGGTCTGAGTGAGGATAGAATCTAACTATTTGAGATGAAATGTTTATATATATAGTGTATTAAAGTTTTTAGATTAGCACAAAAATATCCAAGTGTCATATTTTTCATCAAACAAGTCATAAATTGCTCACAATCTCAAACATAAATAAGTTATGGGAGGATAAAGAATTGGCCAAACCATGGACTGAAAAGGGATATTTGAAGGATTTTATTCTGTTACATTATGGATATTGTCATATTGATTTTTTGAAAGCTTACAGATGATGCAGCACACGAGATTTTAAACACATTTTTTGTCTGATGTCTGAAAATGATCTTAATACGGTATATGTTGCCTGGCCTTTAGGGGTTTTGCAAGAATCAGAATAGTTTGTATAACTATGGTGATAGAAAATATGGCAAATATTACTTTAGGAGGAAATAATTTATTATTTCTTATTGCCTTTCATTAGTTTATTGGTTTTGTTGTTTTTCATTTAACTTTTGTAAGTTTCCTTATTGTGAAGGAAACCAAGCAGCAAGTGGATTCTTATTTTATTAACTCTTGTAAGTTTCCTTCTTGTGAAGGAAACTAGGCAGCAAGTGGATGTTTCCTTGTTAGGAAGGAAACCTCATATGCTTATAAATAGCATGACTTGTATTCAAGAAGGGGAATGAATGTTTGAAGCATTATGATTTTTTGAAAGCTCCCTCTCTCTCTTCAGTTCTGCATCTCTCTTCTGTTCTTCCTCTCATATTTCAGTCACTTTTCTCTCTTTTCACCTTCTCTGTTCTCACTTCCCCTCCACCTCCCACTCTCTGTTTCTGTTTCTTCTCCCTTATCCTATTCTGTTCAAATCAGTGTGAGCGTGAGTGTTTGTGTTTTACATCATATGGAATCCAATAATTAGACCATAAACAGGATACATGACTTATAAATGTTATCTTCTATTAGGGTGGCTTGCTGCATTGATGTGATTCTTTATGGTTCTTCTGTTTTAAATCTTATATATATATATATATATATTTTGAGGATATGATATCATCTTCATTTGCACCCTCTTGTTAGCTCTTCTATATATGCATATATGTATTCTCCTTTCTGTATCATAAAAGAATATATATCTTGTCCACTAGCAGGTTTAGGATGTTATTTATTCTTTTCTTATGCTGTTAGCTTAGACGAATCATTAGGAGTGCAAGTCTTGGATCTAAAATTCATATTCTTGATGGAGGAAATATTTTTATTCTTAGAAGATCCTGGAGCTTGGTGAATGAGGATTTGAAGCAATTATGTTAAATTTTCATCAACAGTTGTTGTAATTTTCTGTGTGAGGAGTGGTGTAAAGGTTGTTTCTGTTAGTACAAAGCAGTACAGTCGCATATCTCTTCCATTCTACCTATTGGTGAATAATATTTTGAGTGCAGTGACACGCTATGGGCATCTAATAATTTGGATCTCTTAATTTTACATGAAGGTACTATCTTCCTGTTTAGCAGTTGACTGTACCTTGAATTTTTTGTAGGCAAGGGCTGCATGTGTCCTGATTGATTTGTGCTCTGGTGTGCTTGCTCCCTGGATGTCACAGGTTGTTGCAAAGGTATGCTAAGGCCTTCTTCCAATTGGTTTGGGATGTTCAGAGTGGGATGTGTTGTTTTCCATGTTTTAGTTTGTTGCAGCTTTCTTCTTGTGTGTAATTATAGTGTTGATAATGATCATGATTGAAATTTTGTAATACTGTTTGTTACCTCAGCTATGGGCCTCTTTTGCATGTAGGTTGATCTTGCAGTAGAGCTTCTAGAGGATCTTTTGGGCATAATCCAGGTTGATTTACTGTGTTCTTTTATAGACCATCTATTTCATGGATAATAATCTTATTTCCTGCTTAAATTATTGGGTTTCATTGTTTGCAAGCTGTGACCGTAGTTCAGGGACAAGTCTTATTTCCTTAAGCTTGTAATGATCCTTGTTTGCATACTTTTCAGACTATTACTTTGGAACAATATTTGAACTGTCCATAGAATAATTTCTGATGTCCGTGAGTTTCTTAGAACTATATAATGTGTTAGTGTTGGGAGTTGGTGCTTGATCATTGTAGTTAGCCTTTTTATTTTTATTTTTGTTAATAAATGCTTAATATGAATGGTTGGGGAGGGGTTTGGTGTTTCATTTATGTTGGTTTATAATGATGCGAGATGAATGGGTGGATGCAACTTGATGTTTCCGTTGCAGAAACTGATCTATTCCAATAGCAGAAAGAAGTGTACTAAAGCAGTGTATGAGGACTAGTTGAAGCAAAATATGATTGTGGCTGCCATGGTGGCAGCAATAACAGCTGTTGAATGCAATCTAAAGGATGGCTGAATTTATATTTATTGGTTGTTTCTCATATCAATGCAGAATGTTCACTACATGTGAATCAATTAGGTTCTGTTCGAGAAAAATTACTCACTGATTTTGTTAGGTGTTTGAAGTTGCAATTCAATTCTATCTTTTTCTTGATGATTTCTGTGTCCAAGCTTAATTTTAAAAGGTTTTGGTATTTTTGTCAGGATGCATGCCATTCTCTTGTCCGTGCTCGTGCTGCTTTGAAGTACATTGTGCTGGCTCTGTCTGGTCATATGGATGATATAATGGGAAAATATAAGGTATTTAGCATACTTCAGACAGCCATTATTTTATTGTGATTGATATTGAAGTTTACTTTTCCCCTTGGTATGATTGATTGATTTTGAGTCCTGGAATTTAGGGGGGAAACTGTAAGATTACTGTGCATATCATATTTTCTATCCTATAAGTGTACATATTTTAATAGAAATAAAGATAAAGGTGCAAATTTAGTTATGAACTATTTTCCAAGGAGTACTGAGTATCTGATATTATAGGATGGTGCAAATAAATTATCAACTATAAAAAATGGAGCATCTAGCACTTTCTGTCAATTTGCTCCTAATGGTTGTTTGAAGAGAGAGAAGAATGCTGGTTTTGCAAACTCTCAGTCCTTCGACTCCCTCAAGCTTAATCCACAGCTGTCCCTAACCTTCCAAGTTCTTCATTCCAAGCCTTCTTTCAACGCCACTTCCTACAAACTCCTTCCAGAACTTCGTTCTTGATAATGTCAAACCTGAGTGCATTCATCCCTACCTCATCAAACCCCCTCTCCTCCCTCCCTCACTCCAAGTCATCTCAGTCCTCCACCTTTACTTCTCTATCCCAGCTTTTCACTGCTGACCTCACCTTCTCTGCTTCAGAGAAATTTGTTCAGCATGATCATTCACCATGAACATGATCATATAGTGCAGAGTGACTCTTCCTCTTTAGCTTTAATGGCATGGGGAATTACACAAACTGCTCTCTATGCTACCCATTAATTGTATGAAATCCTTCAATCTTTGCATGCCTTACCAACTGTTCACAGATAAAATCCAAATGCGATGGCTGATAATGGTAAACTCATATTTGGATGTGTTATTGAAATGTGATAGCTGTAGTAATTTTTCTGGTTCTGGGATTGCTTTGATTGCTTGGTGTCATCTTTTTTCTTTTTCTGGCGGTATTGGTTGGTTTATTTTATTTCTGGCATGTGAGGGCATTGAGATAGGGGACAGGATGAGAGAAACGTGAAGCATGGTGAAGAATTGGAATGATGAGATTGGAGAAGATGAGAGGGTGTTAGAGAGAGGATGAGATCTAGAGGGAGAAGTTACTGCCACCTATGAAATTGGATCCGGCCCCACAAAGAGAATAAACGTCCGTTTGGTCAAAATTAATGGTAGGTGCTAGGCACTCCCTTTTAAATAGTTAATGATTTATTTTGCATTACCTCATAGTATGGGATAACAGATGCTCCTTGGAAAATATTTCATGGCTAACTTTGCACTCTATTCTAGAAATAATATGTATATGTATATTTTTGGGTTAAGATGCAGTGCAGACATGTTGTCATATAAAAGGACTGGTGGTGAAGCTTGTGCTATTTTTTTTCGTCTTAATTGAAGAGTACAAAATTATGTCTCATGTTTTTTGAGAAGCAAAATTTGGCATGTGTGCATCTTCTCTTGCCTATGCTAACATTTAAGCACCCTGACTTGGAAACTTCTGACCTATCTGCTTATGACTTGGAATAATGCTTTATGGTATGCTTTGGATGTTAATATACAAATGAAAAAAACGGATCTATTAGAAAAGGAAATAAAGTAACTGTGATGGAAATCACAGTATAAAAACATAGAAATAAAAGAGAACTTTAGCTCTTTGAGGGGCAGAATCATCCCCCAAAATTCTTCAAAATTTTCCTCTTATCTAGTTATCTTTTCCTCCATCCTCACCCTTGTGTTTTATCCATTTCGTGACAGACCTCCTCAAGAACCTCCTAAATCCTAATAAAGCTTTTGCATTTTCCTCAAATACCCAAGATCCTGTCTGTTATGGTCAATTGATGGAAGCCAATATTGTATGGACTACCTATTCCCATATTAAGTAGTGTGAGTTGCTCTTTGGAGTATTTAAGTGGGTTGATTGTTCCATCTCAACAGCTGGCTTTTCAGGGAGAGCATGCGCATCAATATCAAATCGATTCAATCTTTTTAAGACTCAGTTTGGCTTTGTTCACCCAAAAAAAAAAAAAAACAAAAGAAAAGAAAAAACTTGGCTTTGGCCTAAGTGTTAAAGTTTAGTGAGAAGTATGAACCTTTTACTAAAGTTTAGTGATACTAAAAGAACGCTAATGAAAATGCACTGAGCTTCAATGAGTCAGAAGAGGTATAGATTGCTAGAGGTGTAGATAATTAGAAATTTATGCATGCAGAAGTGATAGAACCTGAGTCTGTTGCCAATCATTTACTGACTACTCCTTACATTGATCATGTATAACCGTGGATGAATCAATGAAAATGAGAGTACAAGTGTTTGGCTGAGTTAGTAATGGAAACAAGATTAAAATGACAACCAGGAATGTAGAGAAGATAGCTTAAGGGTAAGGAAGGAAAAGGTCATGCTCAACAAATACCTCGGACAACTTTATTTGTACCTTTACAAGAATAAGAGCTAGAGTGAAGATGAGGACAAATCTTAGGCATGCATTTTTTGTGGCACTGGTTTGTGTTTATGGCTTTATTTGGTGTTCCAAAATTTTTGGAAATTGAAATGAGTTTCTATGTCTCTTGTTAACGGAGATTGGTAAACTATTTTGCATCTTTTATCTCTTTCCTAGTTTTTCTTGTCATTTCCTGCTAATATCGTTTCTTCTTTTGTTGGAGAGTACAGATCAGAAATTTCAATTATACTTACATGGAAGGAGAACATACCTTCTTTTCATACATGGATCTGTTCAGGAAATAGGTTTTTTGAGTATTCCTTGGCCAAGCATTGTGTGCAATGATATAGAGGGAATAAATAGCTATAGTCCTATTCAATCCCAATAAAGTAGGAAAAGATATGAGAATTCAAAATATAGTCAAAACTGAAATATTATCCCAACAAATTTGGAACAGCTAATAAAGATTAGATATAAGATTATTAAGCTAAATGGGCCAATATGTGGGCTTTAATAGTTGCCCACAATAAATAAGGTTTGTATTCGTTGATTTATTTTTGGAAGAAAGTTGAAAACTTATATTAGCTTAAAAAACTGCATACATAAAAAAGGGGGATGCATCAAGAGCTACACGAAAGTCAAGGTCTGTGGAACAAAAAAGATCCACACAATCATCCCTAAGTTGCAATTTTATAAGTCTGACAGTGAATATCAGCAACTTAGGTACATTGCAAGTAAATGCAGTGTGACAGTTTGCTGGTAATGAAATGAGCGAACTGCTTATAAGTTAAAACTGGTGCTTTTATTTTTTTCTCAGGTAAACAGGAGGGGATATGTGTAAATAATGAAAATACTTTAATTGCCTTTCAGGAAGTTAAGCATAAGATCCTCTTTCTTGTGGAGATGCTAGAGCCTTTTCTGGATCCTGCCATAGCTGCATCAAAGAGCAGAATAGCTTTTGGAGATCTGTCTTCTGTATTTCCAGAGAAGCAGGAAAACAACTGTTTGATTGCTCTAAATATCATCCGCACTGCTGTACGAAAACCAGCTGTCTTACCTTCTTTGGAATCTGAATGGAGGCATGGATCAGTTGCTCCAAGGTAATGGTTCGTTATCTTGTGTTTGCAGAATTATAGGGCCTGTTTGGAAACTTGTTCTGGGAACAATTTTCTGTTCTCTAGAACAAAAGAACAAAAAAATCCGTTTGGTAACGTGTTTTCAAAAGTGTTTTGGAGAAGAAAAAACAAAATATTGTTCTGGAGAACAGAAAAATGAAAATAACTTTTAAGTGTTCTGTGATTATTGTTCTGGAAAACAAGAGAGAATGAGAAAAACACCTATTTTTATTTTTATTTTTTGTTCTCAGAACATGTTTTACAGAACACTAGTTCTCAAAACAATAAAATAAAAACAGTTTCAAACAGCCCCATAATATTTGCACTGATTTTTGGCGATTAAAGACTGATAATTTATTTTTATTTTTAAAAATTCTTGCGTACTCTATCATTTTCAGCATTGTTGATGAGATAATTACCTGTGTTTGGATGGAAAGCTTTCTTCTTACTAGATGGCTTGTGAGAGAATACAGTGTGTAGTCGCTTATTCTCATTCAACAAAACTGATTGATACATAAAGGGAGAGAGAGATTGATACAATCCCATAAAATCCTGTTTCAATTAAATAAAATAGGTGATAAGATACTAATATGAATCCTTAAAGATAAAGCTGACTAAGATAATGATAATAATAACCTAAAAAGCCCTTGGAAAGAGGAATAATAGGCCCAAAGGATAAAGGCCTAATTCCAACAGCTTCATCACCCTGTAAGTCCTGTTTGCATATTGTTCCCCTATATTACCTTTTCTTTTCAAGTCTCAGGTGTGGGGTACATAGGTTTCTAGGGATCATGCTGGAGATTTGTGCTTCGGGTGTAGTGTTATGGGAAGAGACCACCGTCTGGGATGAGACATATGTAGGCCTTCGGAGGGGAATTGGGTCTTGTTCATTTGGTAAAACGTAGCATTGGCTTGTGAATGGGTGTGGCATTTTCCTTGGGAACTACTGTGTTATGGAATTCAATTAGGGAATTTGCTGTTGGTGGTTAAGACCTGACACTTAACGCTGCTCATGAGTGTCTCTAAGAACTGGTTTATTGCAAGCAGTGAATGTTCATTTAAGAATGGATGATAAGTCTCATCGGATTTTGGGAGGAATTTGGGTGGTTTTTTCAATGTCTAGAAGACTTAATTTCATCGCATGCAGATATGCTTTTGTATTCCAAGGGATTGTTCTGTGACTTAGAATTCCCACTTTCATAGGAAGTTAAATGACTGGAATATTCAGGATTTGCAATCTCTTCTAGTTCCATTTAGAACCCTTTTCAGATACATGGTGTGCGCTTGGAGAAGAAAATGCATTCTCTTGTTCCTGAGTGTCAGGGTTACAGAATATATAAACAAAAGGTCAATAAAGAGGAGCCCAATAAAAATTCAAAACAGCCTCTCGTAATCAACTTGCTTGTGAAACTTCACAGTATCTTCAAAGCAAAGCTGGTCTTCACTGTTGAGATTCAGCTCTTGCCGAGGTGCCATCTTCTTAAGAAAATACTCATTCAAATCGCAAGACCCCTATTTCATCGGCCATAATTTTGTTTTGATCTTGAAAGAGCTGAGAGATGTTTTCTCCATCAGAATATGCTTCATTGACGTGTCCTATATGACATGTGCTGATGGCAGAAGCATGAAACTTTTCTTGTCAGCAGGAATCATCGCTTTAACCAACCATGAAGAGACCATGAGGCCGGTTTGGTATGTTGGAATTGGGAGTTGGGGAGTGGAATTGGAATTTTGAAAAATGTCTGTATGGTAGCCTGGATTGGAAGATTATCCAATTCCAATTTCACCAAAGTAGGTGGAAATGGTTCCATGCTACCCCCCTAAGAATTCAAATTCTTTTTTGCATACTCTATTTTTTGCATAACTCAAAGTAAGAGGAAATCCCGAAATGTATGCTCTTCGCGGATGATATAGTTCTTATAGCAGAGACAAGAGAAGAGGTTAATTGCAAACTTGAGTTATGGAGGAGGACATTGGAGTCGAAAGGTTTTCGTCTGAGTAGAAGTAAGACGGAATATTTATATTGTAAATTTGGTAAAGGACTATTCGAAAATAATTTGGAAGTGAAATTGGGAGATCAAATTATACCTCAAGTGGAAAAGTTTAGATATTTGGAGCCATTATTCAAAATGATGGCGAAATCAGTGGAGATATTTCACATAGAATTCAAGCTGGGTGGTTTAATTGGAGAAAAGCTAAAGGAGTTATTTGTGACCGTAAGGTGCCTAATAAACTTAAAGGAAAGTTTTATCGCACTGCTATCAGACCAGCAATGTTATATAGTAGTGAATGCTGGGCTCTAACGGGACAACAAGAGCATAAAGTTGGAGTAGCAGAGATGAGAATGTTACGATGGATGTGCGGACATACACGTAAAGATAAAATTCGAATTGAGCACATACGCGAAAAAGTGAGGGTGGCACCTATTGAGGAAAAAATGGTAGAAAATCGGTTAAGATGGTTTGGGCATGTACAAAGAAGACCAAGGGAGGCACCAGTGAGAAGAGTAGAACATATAACTTTGAGTCCGATTAAGAGAGGTAGAGGAAGGCCTAAGAGAACACTCTTGGAAGTTGTTGAACGCGATCTCTTAATTAATAATATTCCTAAAAGCTTGATAAATGATAGAGCACAATGGCGTCTTGCAATCCATGTAGCCGACCCCACCTAGTGGGATAAAGGCTTGTTGTTGTTGTGTTGTTGTATACTCTATTTTTAGCCCCTCCCTCTTTCATTCACAGCTGGGTACCAACCTTCTCAAGCTTCTCGCATTCTCCTTTTTGGATGACAAAGTTCTCACTCCACCGCCAATGATCTTCTGAGCCATTGCTGGTGAGCTTATTAGCAAAAATAACCTCCTTCAGAGACAACATGTGATTGTGATAGAGCTGCTGATTGCTAAGGTCTATAGGAACAAATCATGAATAAAATAATAGATGAGGGCAAAATAAAAACTTCTGGGTCAAAAGATTATTCTATGGATCGTGGCCAAAAGGGAAAAGAACTGTCATGGGAGTAGGGAGCAGGTGCAGCTAAGGGTAGGGGCAGTGATTTTGTAACCTTTTGGGTTTTAAATTCTCCAATTCAACTGAGAGAGGGGTAGTCCAATCTTTTGGTGAGCGAAGTGTGTTTGGGAGAGTATTGGCCCCTCAAAAGTTCATTGAGTTGGGGTGGAGAAAGATCATCTTTCTTCATCATTTTCTCTTTATGTTTCAGTGTTTCTTAGTGAGTGGCTTAGGTTCTTGGTTGTTGTTTCTGTGTTGTATATTTTGTTGTGAACTAGTGATCCTAGTACTCGGTAACTGTATTCAGTTTAGTGTATGAGTGTATGATGGAGATGGGGTTAGCTTGAACCATTATTCTCATTGTATTCTAATTTTATTATTCAACGATAGTGTTTTTCAGTCCCATTTGTATTGCATTTTCTGGTTTTTTCTTGTTTTAAGCTTATTAGATTAGAGGTTTCTATCATATTGCTTCCCCTTCATCAATGGAGGCAATTTCCCCTTCCATGAAGCTTGTGATTTCCGTAGATTCATGAAGCTTACGATTCTAATCTTCTAGATCTTTTAGAAATGATCTGGTGAGGACAGATCTATGATAGGGAAACTTGAGGTTTCTGGAAGAATCCTCACAAATCCAAACAATCCAGTTCATATATGCTGCAAAAATAAGCAAATGCAACTTGAAAATGAAAAATCTAGTTCAACCTCAACTTCAAGAACCACTGGTTTTAATCTTATGTGATCTCATCTTCTTTTGAATCCATAGCCTTGAATCAACAGGTGCGCTGGCAAAGACCCCATTGAAGTGAGGCTGGATGATGACACTAAGAAATTGTAAAACTGAAGCAGTTAAGACATGATTCCAATCATTGCCAGTGCTTTGTTGTGGTTGCTAGTGGCTCTATGATGGTTGCTGTTGTGAGCTGTATGGTGGCTGCCATGGTGAGGGGTGATAGTGGTGGATTGTAGAGTTGAGGTCTTTCTTTGTTTCTTTAATAAAAAGGGTATTTCGGAGTTGATGATATTAATATACATACTAAATAAAAACATATTTTCAAAACCTACTTCCACTTCTACTTCCATTTCCTTCAAAACTATTTCCACAAATCAAACAGGCCCATAGAGTTTATAGCCTTCCATAACACTAAGGTGATGGTGGAGTTTGGAACAGTAGCTTGGCATCAAGTACCCTAGCTTACCACAAGCTTCAATGGATAACTTAATGTATTGAGTCCATTCCCTGTAATTTTTGCCATTGAGTTTTTCAGGGATGATGGGAATTACTGATCCTTCGAGGTTAGAAGCCATCACATGGCTTATCCCTGGCGCAGATCAAAGCGGAGGAACCCTTGGGTCTGTGCAATGCTAAGTGGCGAGCGTCATTGGGGTTCAACTCCATTTCAGTCTCTTGACTGCGGCTCATCACTCTCCTCCAGCTTTGATACCCTGTGTGCTTGGAGAGGCAATGTATTTTTTGTATTCTTGAGTATGAGGGTTATGGAACATATGCACAAACGGGCAATAAAGAGGAGCCCAAGAAATCAAGAATACAATAAAAGACATAAAACCAGATCCTATATTAACTCCTATAACAATGACTGTTTAGAACATAATAAAAGAAAATATTCTCATATTAATATTTGAGATTTCCTCCAAGGGATATGGAACAGAGTATTACTCCCTTTGGTTCTTTTTATAAGACCCTATTAACAACTTTCATGAGATTACGGAAATTAGTTAAAAGTAGTTAAATTTTGAAAAATTTAACAACTTCCCAAAAACAAACTATTTGATTGGTATAGTTAGTTGTGGGGTGGATGGGGAGAATGGAAATGCCAAGAAACAAGGTATTTTTAAAAATGTGTCACAGATGTTTCATTAAATTTTGTTAAGGGTCTTGTATAAAGGGCCAATAAATATGGTTTTATAAATAGAGTTAGAGGGAGTATAAAGTAGACGGAAAACCTAGTGAACCTGCTGACAATCTAGTCCAAAACCTTATGTGGACTGTCCTCAAACTCAAAATAAAATGAATTTTTAATAATTATCTCCCTAGAGGGAGATGTGGGCTCATCTTCACAAATTTCAAAAAGAACTTTGGTTTTAGCATCTCTTCTAGCTTCTACTTCTTATAGATGCTTAAGCCTCCATTCTGCTAATGCGTGATTTCAGGAAGGCACAGCCCCCATTCTTATTTCTTCAGCTGTAAATTCTACAAGAATTTTAATTTGCTTGAACCTATGTGGGAATCAGTTGTTACACAAATTAATAATGCTTTTGGACTTTTTTCCCCTTAAATTATTTTACACATTTGAAACATTTGTCTTGTTTAATATTTTATTGTAGAAAACTCAACTGGTTTAACTGATGACCTAACTATTTAACCAGTGACTGAACGCCTCACTGGATTGATGGCAAGTCCAGGTCCTAAAACCATATATGAAACTTGGACATTGAAGGGGTTTTGTTTGATTAGGCTTAAAAGTTTGGAAGGGAAAAGGTGGCCAAAGCCATGTGGCAATGTACAATTTTTGTGGTTTTATGGTGTATTAAGTTAGAAGGCTTGGTGGAGTAACCTTTTTCATTTGCTGCTGCAAGAAAGGAATGGATAGTATTTTGTGACTTGTATTAAAAAAGAAAGTATTTTGTGACTTATGTTTGGAGGATATCCTATTATTCTCTTTCTTAATTCACCTCTTTTGTAGTGGAACTCCTTTTTCTTAAGGAAAAGAGGTACAAAGTAAACTGGCTAATATGTCACCCTTTCCATGGATGCATTTGGTTTAAGCATTACTTGACTGCCAGAAACTTGTCTGTTATCTTACATTGTTTTGCCGTTTTACGCAGTGTGCTCCTATCAATATTGGAACCACACATGCAATTGCCACCGGGTATTGACCTGTGCAAATCTGCATCAAAGCCAGTTGAACTTGGGACTGTATCTCTTTCACCTCTTTCCTGTGTTTTGAATCATGGAGGTCCTTTGTCCAAGTCATATAGTCAAGACGAGTCTGATGGTAAAATGGATGTTTCAGAGTCAGCAGGGAAATTGGATTCTATTGAAGATCGCAATCTACTTTTTGCTCCCCCAGAATTACAAAGTATCACATTGACAAACTATTCAAATGTTCCTAATCAAAATACCTCTAACCTCATGGGCATCAGCTTGGAATCAAAACATGCTATGAAGCATTCTACCAAACATTCTCCTAATTTTGTATTAGATGCTGGCTTTGGTGCTGAATACTTCAACCTACAGGCAGATTATTTACAACTTGTAAACTACCATGATTGTGAGCTTCGGGCTTCTGAGTTTCGACATCTGGCTTTAGATTTGCATGCTCAAAATGATGTTACTGTTGAAAGCCATGATGCTGCAATTGATGCTTTGTTGCTTGCTGCAGAATGCCATGTCAATCCTTATTTTATGTTGTCTTTTGGAGCTTCTCCAAAACTCATGGACCTTTTGAACATCAATGATAACAAAATTTCAAGGTCTGATGATATTGTGGAGCTAAAAAGAACTTTTGGAAATAGTAAAACTAATTTAGAAACCATAGCACATCTTGAAAGGAAAAGAGATAAACTGGTTCTTCAAATATTGCTTGAGGCTGCAGAAATGGACAGGAAATACCAAGCAAGACTATCAAATGGGGACGATTGTCCTTATTCTGCTGAAGGAGTAGATGATCAAGTTATCAAGCTGTCTCCCCTTGATGTACAATCTGCAGATGCAATTACCTTAGTTCGACAAAACCAAGCTCTTCTGTGCAACTTTCTTGTCCAACGTCTGCATAGAGAACAAAATTCAATGCATGAAATTCTTTTGCAGAGTCTTATCTATGTTTTACACACAGCCACCAAATTATATTGTCCTCCTGAACTTGTAATTGAAATCACATTAGGATCTGCTGAAGAATTTAACATGATGCTGATGTCTTTACATCTTCAGCTAAAAGAAGGTAGTTTGGATTTGGCACCAGAAAGACTACATGGCTTACGACGACGGTGGATACTACTTCAAAGATTGGTAGTTGCTACTAGTAGTGGAGATGAAGAGGGAGATTTTGGAACTAATATCCATGGTAAATACCGGCGTGGAAATTTGGTTCCCTCTTCAGCATGGATGCAGAGAATATCTCATTTTTCTGGTTCTGTTTATCCTTTGGTTCGTTTTCTTGGCTGGATGGCTGTATCTCATAATGCTAAACAGTACATGAGGGATCACATTTTTCTTGCATCGGACTTGTCTCAGCTGACATATTTGCTTTCAATATTTGCTGATGATCTTGCTTTTGTTGATAATGTTGTCAATCAAAAATATGAAGAGTTTATTGAAGATTCACAAGGTGAAAATGGTCCTTCAACTAAAAAGAGACTTGAAAATCATGAGGATCAATCTTTCCCTGTAATTTATCCAGAACTCTGGAAATTCTTTCCTAATATGAAAAAACAATTTCAAACATTTGGAGAAGCCATTTTAGAGGCCGTTGGGTTGCAACTAAGATCTGTTTCTTCTACTCTTGTGCCTGATGTTATTAGTTGGTTTTCAGAATTGTGTTTATGGTCATTCTCTTCTGCTTCTCCAAGTATTAAAGATGTCCTGAAAGGTTATAAAGCCAAGAATGCCAGAGCAGTAATCCTTTATATTCTTGAAGCTATTATAGCAGAGCACATGGAAGCCATGGTTCCTGAGATACCTAGAGTGGTGCAAGTGCTGGTGTCCCTCTCTGATTCTGCTTATTGTGATGTCTCATTTCTTGAATCTGTGATGCATTTGTTGAAGCCAATTATTTCATATTCATTGTCCAAGGTCTCTCATGAGGAAAGTTTATTGATCAATGACTCGTGTCATAACTTTGAGGAGTTATGCTTTAGTGTTCTTTTTGATAAGATTAAACAGAAGAATGAGAACCAACATAATTCTGAGGATAAGGGATACAACATGGCACTGTCTATTTTTATTTTGGCTTCTGTTTTTCCTGATTTATCCATTCATCGTAAAAGGGACTTTTTGCAGTCTTTATCTAATTGGGTGAAATTTTATTCTTTTGAGCCAACAACATCTTTTTATGATTATCTCAGTGCATTTCAATGCGTTATGGATAGCTGCAAATCACTACTATTGTGCTTGTTAAGAACTTTTGGTGCTATTCCTTCTCAGCTGCCTCCCTTCCCTAATGTGCATGGTGACAAACTGTTAGATGATAATCCAGTACCAACTATTGGGTTTCTTAGTGAAATCTGTCAAACGTCACATGAAAATGATGCTGAGAAAGTGGAAAGTGTTAATTTGAACACTCTTGTGGATCAATACAATTTATCTTCTGATGATTTAGAAGGAATTTCTAAAGACATAGAGGGTCTTATAACTGAGCTTAACATAGCAATTGAGCAATGCTGGAGTCTTCATCATCAGCTTACCAGAAAATTGACCATAGTGTCAGCTGAGTGTTTTGTCTTTTTGAAGTGCTTAATATCAGTTGCACAAAAATTCTATGATGATGATGATGATCAAAATTCTTCACCATCTAAATCAGCTGATCCGGTCACGCTTCATTGGAGGACTGGTCTAGAAGGCCTTGTTGAAATGACCTTGATGCTCCAGGAAACCAGTTGCTGGAAAGTTTCTAGCTTAATGCTTGATTGTTTACTTGGAGTACCTTGCAGTTTTTCCCTGGATAATGTCATAGGTGTCATATGCTCTGCAATAAAGAATGTCTCCTGTTCTGCCCCTAAAATTTCTTGGCGTTTGCAGACTGATAAATGGCTGTCTTCATTAATCACAAGAGGCATATATAACATCCGAGAAAGTGAGGTTCCTCTGATTGATCTATTTTGTAAATTGTTGGGTCATGCTGAACCTGAGCAGCGTGCAATAGCAATTAAACACTTGAGAAAAATTATTGGCCAGTTTGTGAATGGAGAAAAATCAGTGGTATCTCTTAAGGTTTGCAGTGATTTTGTTCCAATGAAGTTAGTTGCATCTGTACCTGATTTTGTTTTATCTCATCTGGTTTCAAGTACATGGGATGAGGTTGTTGTACTAGCATCATCAGAATCAACATTACAGATAAGGCTTCAAGCCATGGTACTTCTTTTTGATTACATCCCATTTGCTGAGCGCCATCAGTTGCAATCTTTTCTTTCAGCAGCCGATGGTATTTGTTGTTTGCAAAATCTACAACAGACACATGATGGTCCAATCCTACATCTTTCCTTGGCTCTTATTGCTGATGCCTGCTTGTACTTGCCAGCTGAAGATATTTCTTTGATCCCTCAAAATGTCTGGAGAAATGTTGAAGCCTTGGGCTCAATGAAACATGGTATTAAATTATCCCTATCATCATCACCAAATAAAGCATATAAATTATCCCTGTCAAAATTGTATGAAGAGGTGTGTTACTATATTGGTTAACTAAAATTATGTTCTCAAAATATGTTTTGTGTTGTGCTTTGTAGATGGCAAGCTTGAGGACTTTGGAAAGAGGGTTTGCCAAGTGTTGTGTAGATTGAGAGATGAAGGTGATGAGGCAAAAGAGGTACCTGCTGCAATGAACTTAGTCATGTGGACTTTTATCTGTCGCTCACCAACTTATTTCCTATTTTAATAGTTGATTAGCCTTCTATGGTTCATCTTATCCCATCTGATTTGCTTTATAATGCTTAAATTTAAGGTCCTGAAAGAAATGCTTTTTTCAAGCTCATCAAAGCATTATGATCCAGATTTTGCTAGCACACGTGAATCCATCCTCCAGGTAAAATGCTATTGAAAACCTATTGTCTTGTTAAAACATAAATTTGTTTGTATTGTAGTCAGTCATTTTATACATGGTGCCATGTGTGTGCTTTAGTTGAAATCGTGTATTTTTGGCCTGATACTAATACTTGGTCTGACTTATGCATCGTTCAGAGTGTATGGCTTTTGATGATATGCTAACTTATAATTTTAGCCTTTTCCAAAATTGTGGTCTGCAGATCAATTTCTGTTCTGCACGTGCAATAAGTTTGCTTGCTTTTTTCCCCCCAAATAGAATGGAAGAAACTATATATATTGAGAATGTAATTAAGTGTGAAGAAATAATGAAACTATATACATGGACAAAAAATTGAAGTGAAGAAATATTGCATTCGGGTATAAACAGAGGTTGACTTCAACTATGGACTTAAAATTGGTTCACATGATTTCTGGCGAGGTTATATGGTGAGTATAGATAGAGGTTGAATGATATACGGGTATTTTGTCTGCTGTTTAAGGATCACCATGATAGTTCATTAAAAACCAGTTGTCTTGTTAAAAAATAAATTGATTCTCATGTGGATGAAAATGTGAGAAGTCTTGGCTGAAAAGCACCCCTGTTTTGACACCAGATTGAAAACCTACGTAGCAAGGTTTTTTGCTGGCCAAGTGCAAGCTTGTTAGTGTCTACTGCAAAGTTTGAGTAAATAGTGTTGTCGTGCTGATGTCATCAAAAAGCCCTGCCCCTGCTTGGTGGCCAAGTTGAAAGAGAGGCCTATAGAATGGGGAAATGGAAATGATGATTTTGAGTTGAGATATAAGGGGTGGGGGGAGTCAATATGAAAAAAGATCTTAAGGTCAAATGTGTATTTTATTTTATCCAGCAGTCCTTTTTGTAGAAAACCTTTAAGAGGGATGGCTAGAAATTATGTCATATTGACTCTTAATTGTAACACCGTTGTGTTAAAAATAACTGGCTCTCTCTTTGATCCTAGCTACATCACTTATGTCTAAATTATTGTAACAGCATGCAGTCTAGAAATAGTAGCTCTATTCAAACGCTCTATTGGTGCTGTTTAATTTATAAAATGGTTGAGATGATAAGTAAGCCAAAATGATATTGTAAGTTTTGATTGCTAATCAAAGCCATCGGAATCCAAATGCAAAGTTCAACTATAAAAGCATTAGCTGGAATATCAGTGTAATAAACTGATACCTCTATTTTTTCTTGTAATATCATTTCAAAGTTCTTAAGTAGTTTCCTATGAGCATTTGATGATACCTGTTTTTTCACTTGCTATGGATCATTGCACTCTGTTTCATAGTGCTTATTTTGTCTACTTTCTTTTTTATCTTTAAACTGTCTACTGATCTTTGGCTTGCTACAGGTCCTTGCCAATTTAACAGCTGTTCACTCATACTTTGATTTATTCTCAAAGAAAATTGATCAAGATGACATTGTAAGAGTCGATTGCTAATCAAATACATGTATTATTTCTAAGCAGCCATGCTTGATGACAAATATTTGAACGTTTTGTAGGTGCTCGAGGAGGCTGAAATGGAACTAGACATTATACGGAAGGAATATGGACAACCAGAACCACCGGAAGAGTCCAAAGACAGAACTCAGATTCAAGGTCTAGCCACTAGCACATAAGCATTGGTGTTTAGTGAGCCTGAAATTGCATTGTTGTTATCTAGCAATTATTTTAAAATATTTGGGTTGCCTGAAAGATTTTCCTCACATATTCAGATGTTCTGCAAAATTTGAACTCTGCAGCTTCAGGGACGGAAAATTTACGGCTTCAGCAAATCAGAGACAGCATTCTTTACCTGTAAGTTCCGGTAAATTTAAGCTCCAGCAAGCAGCAACAGACATCTGATTGCAAGTGTATACCTAAGAAGGGAATAGTGATGAGTTCTCCTAGCATACTTGCTCTGGTTTTATTTATAAGGCACTTGAAGGAGGGGTTTTGTGGTCCTTTTTACTAGGCACCACATTTATTATTTATTACAATTTTTTGCCTTTACCCCTATTCAATGTTGATATAGGAAAGTAAAAACTTCTTTAAGAAGGTATTTATTGTGGACAAAGTAGGAAACTTGTTTAATTTGTAAACATAGTTAATGAGTTTTTAGATTTTCTTCAGTTGGTCTCTGTAAAAAAAAAAAAAATACTAGAAGTGACTTATAAATGGATACTAGAGTGAGTATCATATAAACTTAATTTCTTCATGCATGATTTAATTCAGTGTTTGAATGTTGGTATCTGTTGTGGAATGGAGTTTCTTGTGTATTTAAGCTAATATTTTCTGTGTAAGTTAGTTTAAATAGCAAGGCAATGTGACAGGACAGCTATGTTGAGTTATGAATTTTTTTTCCCTATTCTCTTTTTCATATCATCCGGTCTTTTTTTTTTCTTTTTTCATTTCCCGTTTTTTGGCCATGCATCTTTTGGTTGTTTAATAGCATTGTCCTGTGTTCTTATCCTTTATCCTCTATTTCTAAAAGCTTGTACCACCCTTGTAAATACTATTTAGTTGTTCCTAGTGGGTCCAGATATTTTTGGAGATTTTCTGTATTGAGGTAGGAACTTCTGTTTTTAATTTATATCCTTTTTCTTTCTTCTCTTTTTCTGAGACTTTGATCCTGAATGCTGCTTAAGTTTTATGATGAAGTGCTCAAACTGAGGAACCATGTTCTTATGTTTTTATCAGGGAAAAGTCCAAACTTAGAGAAGATATTGTAGCCCGTAGGCAAAAAAAACTTGGTCTTAGGCATGACCGCCAAAAATTTTTGGAAGAGGCGGCCTTACGGGAGGCAGAACTTCTGCAAGAACTTGACAGGTTTCAGCTTCTTATATTCTTGTGGTGGTTCTCTTGTGTTGTTTTGATTTTTTCTGCTGGCAGCTGAGTAATGTGTTAACATTCATTAGGGAGAGAGCAATGGAAATGGAAAAGGAGCTTGAGAGACAGAGATTGCTGGAACTTGAGCGTGCAAAAACCAGGGAGCTCCGTCACAATCTTGATATGGAGAAGGAGAGGCAAATGCAGGTAATAGAGCTTCCCACTTTACTTGATCTGAACTAGAGATATACAATCTCAGCCATCCTGATAGCCTAATACATCAAAAGTTTTGTTATGGCTGATAGAGATAAGAAGACCATAGTAGCTTTTGAACTTGGCAACATGAACAAATGCCTAGAATAGGAGGCTATTAATCTCGACTAGGTGTAGGACACATAGGTGCACAGAAAAGGAAACTTGTGATCAGAATGTGGGACTTCAAAAGAATAGGAAAGTGGGCAGCTTGATAGAGGGAAATGGTGGGGAAAGAGGGAACCTCCACTGCATTCCTCAAGGGGAGCACCATTGACACCACTCTCCTCTATAGGACTGATGGGGTGTTTTATTTATTTAATTAGTATTTAATATTTAATGATCATTTTCTTAGTGTTATAAACAGCTACTGCTGTAATGTATCTAAGCATTATTTCATTCCTTGTATTTGGGAGATTCTCCCAGGCTATTACTAGTTGTGAAATTCCTACATCTATCATTCTCTTGTTAATCAGTTCCCTGAGTCTGAGCTGTCTTTGATGCTCTCATTATCAGGGTTGTGTTTTTGAAAATCCATTTACATCCAGTTAGCATCTTCCCCTTTGCGAGGTCTGTGAAGAAAACCATAGAAATGATGTTCTGATTTCTTGATCTTTTATATTGGAAAAGCATACATGGATCCCGTGATTTTTTTTTTCTTCCTTTTTTTGGGTTTCAAAGGATACCTTGAAATAATGAAAAAATATAAGATACATAAATGCAGATGGTTGGGTGGAAAAGGTAATTACAGATCTGATCAGAGCCAGTTCACTGGATGATGTGGTCTGGTTTTGACATTGACATGGATTATTTTGGTTGAAACTTGAAACTAGGACCAAGAGTACCACAGGGCGATTAGATTTTAACATAGCAAAGAATTAAGATTTGGATGACCTATTCAGGGGGGCATTCTGATTTCAAGTCAAACCATAGGAGGGTAAGCTGTAAGTTATCCAAAGAAAAACAAAAATTCTTTGCACTGAAGCTCAAGCTGGCCACTGTGTGGTTCTTCCCCCACACCGCCCTCCCCAAAAAAAAGTAAATAAAATAAAATAAAACAATGCATGATTCTTTTGATTCAAAGATTTTGGAATAGTTGTAATTATTAAACCGTTTCATTTTTTTCAGAGAGAACTTCAGCGCGAACTAGAGCAAGCAGAATCAGGACAACGACCATCTCGCCGTGACTATTCTTCAACTCATAGTAGGTGAGTTTTGTCATAATAATCATTTGTATAAGAATTATTATCCCTGGAAAGACTTGTTCTGCTTGCGGAATTCTTTTCAACTTTTATTTTTATTTTTATTTTATTAAAAGGAGAACGTTTGTGATTTGGATTAATGCCATTCTTTATTTCTCCTCCTTTTTTTGAGTCTTTGGACAACTTATCTTAATGTTCCAATTTGTATGATTTGCAAACAGGACGGTTCAAATGTGTTTGTTATCAACAAACTTGTTCCTTAACAAAATGTTGCCTGAAACTTTCATCTTCCAGAAATTTAATTAGAGAGAATGCAGAATATTTAGCCAAATTGGGTCATTTTTAATGAGAATTTCTTCCATCACATCTTATTTGGGAGAGAATAATTTTACCTTTTCCCTGGGGGTTTCAGTATACGGGGTCTTTGAGGGCATTACTTAGGTATTTATAACTGACTGGGAAGCTCTAGTGCTTTTGTTTGTTTTGATCTTTCCTGTTTTCATGGGATTGAAGCAAACCAACCATGAAATCCGTCTTTTGTAAGATTTATGTGTAATAAGCTTTGTGTGATGGGATTCTCACTTTTTTGCAGTCGACCTCGGGAAAGATTCCGTGAAAGAGAAAATGGAAGATCTGGTAATGAAGGGAGCAGTAGAGGTGGCAGTGGAAGTTTGCAGCCTGACGTGCCTACCACCACTAGTTCATCCATTGCAGCTTCACCAACCATTGTTCTTTCCGGGTCTCGGCAATTTTCAGGCCAGCTGCCCACCATCCTACAGTCACGTGATCGCCAGGATGACAGCAGCAGCCTATATGAAGAAAATCTTGATGGAAGCAAGGATTCAGGAGATACTGGCAGCATCGGGGACCCCGAATTGGTCTCTGCATTTGATGGCCAATCTAGTGGTTATGGATCACAAAGACAGAGTTCTAGGGGAAGCAAGTCTAGGCAAGCCGGAGAACGCAGAGAACGGGACAATAGACGTGAAGGAAAGTGGGAAAGGAAACATTCATAGCTAGTGAATAGTGAGTTTGAGTTATAGTTCACTGATCAGCTGATACAACAGCCATGAAGGGGAGGCAAATAGAAAAAGAACCATTCAAACCTGACTTAATTCTCTTCAAGTTTTTGGTCTTCTCTCACCGACATTGGCAATGGCGGCGGGAGAAATAGGGAACCGGGCATTGTTTATTGAACTGGTTTCCTTCATACAGGCTTTCGCGCCTTCTGGGTGATATCACTGCATGACTACAAGCCCAGTTTCAGATTGATAATGGAATTTTTTGGCTTGTTCGGTTTCTGTTGTGATTTGCCCTTAAGCTTGTCCATTGTTTAGTTCTACAAGATATTTTGATCATATTGGTGTGCTGTTATATCAAAGCTTGTATGTATGTATGTATATTTAATTCATACAAAGAAAAATTACAGCTCTTGTTTGGAGAAATTCCTGGCAGCGTATCAAGAAAACATTAGTAGTGAGTGACTACTAGGCATGGTATGAAAACTCGGACCGAACCAACCGGGTCAACCCATAAACTGGCGACCCAATCTCCACCAATTTTGGGTTTGCATCTAACCTAGTCAGTAGTTGACCTGGTGTGACCCGATCAACTCAGGATTAACTCGTGTGACCCAATGGGTTTGCCAAGTGGTTGGTATTATTATTATTTTTTGCAAAACCTCCAAATGATGTTTTGGGGGCTTTTTTTTTTTTTTTTTTAGTTTTCAAATTTTGAAATTGAATGAAGAAATGAAAAATGAAATTAGAGGTAGAGTAGAGTGCATTAGTGTAGACATTCATCTCTTGTCCTAACTTAATTGGCTAATTGCTCGTCTCTATCTCTTTTCCTTTGCTCATTGTAAACTTCTGCTTGTTGTAAACCTAATCAGATGTTATAGTTCTTATCGTCGACGTCGTACAACCCAACTTGATAGCTTAGCTTGGTAGCTCGTGCTTGAGTGATGCTATAATCAATGCATCCTAGTGTTTTTTGTGAGTCTTGTCGTCTGCCATCAACATTCTTTCTCCTCATCTTCATGTTGAAGTCTCTACATTTTAGCTCATGCTCACATTCTCTCTGCATTAGGTCAGTCTCCATAGCTTGTGTCTCATCTTCTCTTGCCTCTCCCCATTGCCTTTTTTATTTTACTTTTACTAATTGTTACTTTAAGCTTGGAGATTTGAATAAAGTTAATGATAATTTTGGTGTTGGTGAATATTAGTTTTAAACTTTTTAATGATTGAAAGATTGTAATTGTAATGATAGATATTTAAAATATTGTATTTTATTATTGTTAGAATTTTAAGTGGTTGAATTTAATTGAATGTTTTTTTAATCAATGTCTTTTTATTTAAATTATATTATTTTAATCATGATCAATTTGCCACTGATTTAACTTCCAATTCAACTCTGGTTGAACCATTAATCTATAACCCAGTATCATGATCGGTTTGATTTTATGTACCTTACTAGGAACCATATTGCACTCGTCTCTTGTCTTTTGAAAAAGGCAAATTCTAAAATGTGGGAGCCCATCTTTGATGGGTCTTTTGGATGTGCTAGTGATCTTTTTGGAATTATGAATGCTATTATTCTGTTGGAAAGCTTTGGAGCTCATAATAATGGTGGCAGAAATCTTTGATTAGAATTAAAACGATAATATCTTTGAGAGCTGCTCATGTCACTGCATGAGATCATATCCCCAAGATTTACTTCCAATGAAGTTGGTGCATTTATTGGTTCAGCTGATCTGTCAATTTGGACTCATTTCTCCCACCAAAGGGAAAAAATAATTAAATCTCTGTTGAACTTAAAGTTCGTAATACAAATAATAAATCAACATTTTTTTATAAATAAATTATAATCCAAAATATTTCAGAATCGAACTTACTTTCCTTTTCAAAAAGATAGACAGTTTAGGTGAATAAATGAATGAAAAATATAAGGAATTAAATTATAAAAAACGATGCATAAATAATTTGTGGTACCAAAACTCTCAAGCCAGAAATACGCACCTTGTTTGATCTCATCCGCCCATGCTAAAGCAAACTGAATTAGACTAAACTATTAAATGGAGCAAAATAACTCATTGCAAGCCTTTAACATACATACATACATACATACATACATAGAATCAACAGAAAAGCATGTGTAGCTGATAGATAACATCAGTCAGAAGCATTCACACCAGAATTCAGACCATCTCTGCTAAGTTTAGCAATACATGTCAAGTTGGCAACTGTATTACTTCCATCTTTTCCATGGCTTGCCAAATTTCCCTAGCTTAAACTTGCCACCCTTCCAACGTTTGCCAAATTTGCCGTGCTTGAACTTTCCATGATGAAACATACCATGACCATGATGAAACATACCATGAGATAGGCGGTGAGCACCGTATGCAGCAGCCACAGCCGCAGCACCCCCAGCGAGCAATGCTCCCGTGCCATGGCCATGCACTGTATGTAAGAAAAAGTTAGTAAAAGTACCTCAGTGATTGAGGTTGTATCCTTTGACGTCATTCAATTATAAGCTCAAAAAGAAAGTAACTCAAGAAAGTGAGACTCTTCATTAGGACTCATTTCTCCATTCTACACCCATCTTATGTTCTCTTTATTTCATTTCGACTGCATTGATGGTTGAAAATCCAGATTCCTTAAGTTTTAACAATACTTTGCTTTCTCATAAACATAGCACATGATGGGGTACGGAGAAAGGATTTATTTTCTTCTCCTTTTGAGGTGACTTGGAAGAGGATAATGAAAAGTAACAAATAGAACATAATTATAATAATATCTCCATAAAGGGTCAAGGCTCATCAATATCTGAACAAGAGATGCAAGATAAGGGCTACCATTTCCCCTGTCTGTTGATAAATAAGCTAAGGCAAAAACTCAATTTCTTTCTATTTTCTCCTTACTTTCATGATTTCAAAGAAAGAATCTGAAAAAAGTCACAGAATCCCCTCTTTATACCCCACACACACACACACACACACACACACACATCTAGTAAGGACAATGGAAAATCCAAATAGCATCTCCATACACTTAAATTAATAGAACAAATTGGGATAGTTAGGCATACTTGCAGGATATGGAGCTGGTGCAGTTGGATAGCCATGTGGGGCAGGATAACTGGCTGGATATCCAGACGGATGATATCCAGCTGGTGGATATCCACTTGGAGAAGGATAACCGGCAGGTGGATACCCACTTGGAGGAGGATAACTAGCAGGTGGATACCCACTTGGAGGAGGATAACTGGCAGGTAGATAGCCACCGGATGGTGGATAGCTGGCCGGAGGATATCCTGTTGGTGGGTAGGAAGGCGGGGGGTAGCTGCCTGGAGGTGGATACCCTGCTGCTGGATAAGATCCAGATGGAGGAGGATATGGGGCTGAAGGATAACCATGTAGATGCGAAAAAAGACCTTTATCCTTGTCGTTTTCACCACTCATTGCTTCAGCTTAAAATTATATCAAATTCTGCAAAAGAATATTAGAAGAATGACAATTTAGGAACTGTTCAAATAATAGAACAAGAGTTATTGTAGTTCATGCATAATTCAATGCCCACAATTATCTGAGTTTAATATGAATGATCGACACAAGAAACAACCATCCATCAGCTATCCAGTATAGAAGAACAATACATATAAAGCATAATTTTACTGACCAAAATTCATGAACAAAAGAAATTTAGTTTCACAAGGAAAGACTGGGTAATGGATTCAAGAGGGTTGGGTAAGACAACGAAAATCAAATTTAATCTTTCAATTTACGATGTCAAAAGAATTAGGAACATGGGTAGACAAAAATAAAAGGATGGGGCCATTATATTTCTATCAACAAAATCCTATGCCTCTGTAGAGGCAAAAGTGATAGAATGATCATTTGTATTTATTAAAAAAAAAAACAGAGATTTGTTAATGAGAAAAGACAGAACAATGCAAAACAAAACAGAAAATAGAGGAAATACATCCTACCAGACTAAATTTTCAACCTGGGGGGAAAACACTGTTCAACTCCCAAGAGCTCTCCAATCCCTTTGGAGATCTCCAAGAGACACCGGCCTGCAATACCCATTAGCTGAAACTCAAAGGGAGAACATAAAAATAATCATCTAAAGATGTTTATCAATTTTAAAAAAATAAACACCAAAGCATTATGCAAAGTATGTATATGTATGTGTGTGTGTGTGAAGCTAAAGGTGGAAGCAGGTCAAGCTAGGCTTTGCTTTGGCCAAAAGGGCCTAAGCCTGCAATGTAGGTCTTAAGCTTGAGCTTGGTCTGAAGCTAGTATAAAGCTTTTTTTGAGTCAAGTCTAGTCAAAAAACCCAGTTTGGCCTGAAAGCCTGTTTCAAGGCTTGCTTTTTATGTAGGCCTTTAGATAGGCTCAAAGTTATGAGGCATCAAGGCTTTAAATAGACTTTGAGCCTATAAAAGCCTACATGCTATTTTTTTGAACTTAATTCACATTCATAATAAAATGACAAAATGCATATTATTTTACAAAACAACACAATGAAAGTACAGAATAAAATTACAGGTTCTTAATAATACAAGTTAATTTGTTTATTACACAAATACATAATTCAAGTCCAGCCAAGGAAGAGTAATACAACCAAAGAAAGGCTAAAAAATAACATGAATAAACCAACAACAAAGAAAGGCAGCACCGATACAATATGATTTCTTCTTACTAAGATGCCTCCTACAAAAAGAAAGAGTCAAATTTTTACTAATATTTAACCAATTATTAGAATGTAAGTTCAAGCACAAATGATGGACTTGCAACATTACAAATGCCTCAAACAGAGAAGAAAAAGTTCTGATCTGAGCAAATATTTTCAAACTCCGAACATTTTTTGTTGACAGCATGAAACAGAACAGAAATCCAAGCAACATTTGGGGTATTAAACACCAAGAAAAAATAGAGTTTTCTTTAGGAAAAAAATACTTCACATACAAAATAAACCGTAGCATATTCAGAATAGACCTTAAAATGCTATTGAGAGAGAATAGCTTAAAATAATAGCTATATCAATCTAACTTTCTGCATCAATACCTCAAAACAGATAACTATTTACTCAGGAAAAACATATACAAATCATTTCCACGTTATCATATATAAGGAAGCTTCATTTCTGCAAGTTCAAATCAAAACAATCTGTAGCTAGATCCTATCACATTAATCTAGAAGCATGAGATCACCGACCAACTCCCGCTAGAGATTTTGAAGATTTTCGAGGAATGATCAGCACAAATCAAGCAAATATAATTGAATAACGGTATAAAATGTTTTAAACAATCTCTCCGAAGAAGAAGCACTATAAAAGATGCAGTCACAATAGTGAAAAAGAAAGCGAGAGTAACCACTGCGGTGGGATTTTTTGGTGGAACTAGACGCAAAGGAGGTAACACTAGTTTAGTCTATGCAAACAGCGAAAGAGTGTGAGGGAGCGACAGACCTCTCCGAAGCTGAGGCACAAGGAATAATGACAGAGTGAGCTGAGCGGCCGAAACCTAGGTTGCTTTTGGGCGAAGGTTGTAAGAGAGGTAAGAAGTGAACTTTCAGAATGCTTAAATCTTAAAACCCGGAATGTTCAGTATGTCGCCTGAGATGAGTGTTGAAGGCTGATGGACGGCGATAGAACAGCCAGATTGGGTTGCGAGAACGGCAACCGCGGCTCTGATTGCGATTCATGGGAGCCGAGCGATGTAGTTTAGGGGACAGGCGAGCGAATGAAATCTAAAACAAGAAAACTATAAAACATCAAACTTGATTCTTCCATTAATTCTAAACAGAGCCAAATAAAGAATAAAATATGACCAGCAGATTTTCCTTTTCATCTTCCCAACTCTGATATTTATTTATTATAATTATTATTTTTTGGGCAAACCAACCCTGATATTTTCATTCCTGATTCAAGAAAACAAAAACGAACTTGTAACGGATCGATCAATCTTAGAACCAAAGGAAGAACATTTTAATTATTTTAGCATGATCCAGACAGACAATGCTTCATGCAATATGAGAAAAGAAACAATCAAATTCATGATAGCTTATGATGCAATAAAACATTGAAATTTACCAAGAAAAGAAGAAGAAACAAGATCAAGCCAAGATGATACCAGCAAGCATGGTTCTCCTTCCCCACCTTCTAAGCAAAAACAGAAATAGGCAAATATAATATTGATGGATAGCTTGATGCTTCCCCAATTGAAGGATAAAAAGGTGAAAGGTCCCTCTTTAAAATATTCCCATAAAAATTAACGAGGGAATGATAAATTGAATCAAATTAATTCAAGATAAGTCCTAAGACATTTTTGATTACTACCTCTAGTAATATATAAAACCATTCACACTCCATCCATAATGAGTAACCACGATGGAAGAAGTGGTTCCTAAATTCAAGGAAACCGACGATCATGAGGTTTGGGCACTAAGCCAAGATTATCTATCAATAGAGGAGCCCTCTCTCAACAATCATAATGTATCTGCTACTTTTTTTTGTTTTCTCTTTTATTATATAGTTTTAGTCTTTATTTTTCGTTGTACGGCCAACATAGCCCCGTCATCTCTTTCTTTAATTAATGTTTCTTTGTTTTTTCGCATCTACATTAATTTTCTTTACTTCGCATTCTCATAGTGGGGTGAACTATGGTAAGGGAGCTCGGTTTCCCGCGTTTGATCAGAACTTAGGTTCTTTCATCCTTTTAAAACCTCGCATTTCTAGCACACTTTGTGACGCCCCTTTTTATTTTTTCCTAACAAAACAGATATTCAGTATTTGGTTTCTATTTATTCCCTTCAACAAATATTCAATAGGTATGTAGTTTAAAGATTTTAAACTTTCAAGTGCTAGGAATGTTTATTAGGACCACACACAAGCACGCACGGGGGAGGGGGCTGCACACACTTTAATACTAAATGACAAGATGTGTCATATTAGTATATAAAAGATTTCTACAACCAAATGATGGGGTCAAAAATATGAACATTTAAATCATCGACAGACACTTAATGAGCCAATCAATTTGTACATTTATTTGCTTTTTTAAAAACATGATCAAAGGTAATCATCCAATCTCTCATAACAAATTTTCTGATTTTATTGATTGTTGAAGTAAGAGGGTGATTCATAGAGAACTCATTGTATATTAATGTGAGAACTTCAATAGAGTCAAAATAAACATTAATTTTTTTCAAACTTTGCAGCTCAACAAATGTTTAGTCTTTCCAATATATCTATAAGTTTAGCTGCTATATTTGGGTGATATCCAAGGTATTGGAAAAAACTTTCAATTCAATTGCAATGATTGTCCCAGATGAGATCGCCACAGGAAGTTACACTTTAGTTATTGACAGAGCTATTAATATCTAATCTAAGCCATCTAACATTAGGAGACAACCATTTTGCTTTTGCTCTATTGCCCTATTGAGTTAAAATGTTGACTTTTGATTGAAGGTATTGAGCACTGAGAATATCCTAAATGCTAATAGGAGTGTCTCTCTCAAAGTAGTATGGGATATGCAACACTGAGCTACATGCTTCGGACAATGTTAACAAGATATACTAGTGCTTGTTTGATTGTTTTGTTCTGGATGTGAATGGTGTCGTAATGTAACCATTTTTTTTTTTCAGTAAGGAAATTGTGAAAAATATAATAATAATAAATATAGGAGTTGCAAATTTAAAAATATAAGTTGCAAATAGCTACAATTGAACAAATAATTTCATAAAACTCGTGATATATAGAGTTGTAAATCAATAAAAGTAACTTGCAAATCTTAGAACTGAACAAATAGTTTCTCAAGAGAAAAATTTATGTTGAGATCATGTGCTCATAAATAAAATTTTGATGTGAAGTTACAAATCCAGGTAGATAGAGTTGCAAATATTAAAAAATAAGTTGCAAATCCTTAGATTTGACCAAATAATATAATATAAAATTCAATGTTAAAATCTTGTATACCTAAATAAAATTTGAAAATTAAAATGCAAACCAAGATAAATGGAGTTACAAATCAAAGAGAATAGATTGTGAATTTTTGGAATTGAACAAATAACTTCTCATTAAAAAAATCAATGTTGAGATTTTGTATTCATAAAAAAATGGGGAATAAGTCACAAATCCGAAATAGAAAGTTGCAAATCCATAGAATTGAATAAATAATATCATAAAATTCAATGCTAAAATGTTTTTAAAAATGAAATTGGGTAATTAGGGTAAAAGAAGTTGCAAATCTGATAAAGCGGACTGTAAATTTCTAATTTAATATGTTATAATTATTAAGATATTTGAGTCTTTTTCAATGTTAGAAGATCAACTAAAAACTATGGGACTCACTTTATAATTTTAAATTTATCGAGATTTTATTAAAATAAAATGATCCATTGAGAATCAAGTGTCATCATCCCTTTTATTAAAGCTGCTTTTTTAATTCTCTCTCTTTTTAAAATTTTACTCAAATCTCAAAAAAGCTCTCTCTCTCTCTCTCTCTCTCTCTCTCTCTCTCTCTCTCTCTCTCTCTATTTCATCTCGATGCTTCGATTGTTAAACAAACAAACGAAATCGACCAAAACAATAATTAACATTTAATTCGGATGAACTTTAAAAAGTGACTCCAAACTTGCTGAATTAAAGTAACATATTTTCCCTCCTTTTTTTATCTGATTATATTATATGTTTTATTTATCTTTATGATAGCCACAGAAGCAACTAAATCTTAAAAGAAGGGGAAAATCCAATTGATAAACTAATTAAATAGAGCAAAACAACTAGTTGCAAACCTGTAAAATACACACACACACACACAAAGAAAAAGCATATGTTGTTGATAGCAAATAACTCACAATACAAGAATTCAAACCATCTTTACTAAGTTTACTAAATATTTATGCTGGCAGTTGTATCACTTCCATATCTTTCCAAGTTTTGCCAAATCTCATGATTGCCAAATTTACCTCTCTAACAAAACATTCCATGATGGAAAATATGGTGACCACCATGAAATAGATAATGAGCACCATATGCGGCAGCCATGGCGGCCGCGGCTCCCCCTGCTAGTAAGGCTCCGGTGCCATGACCACACGCTCTCCTACCACGACCACATGCTGTATGTGTGTCAAGAAAGTAGTGAAATTACAACGATGCATATTGCAATTGTACCCCATACCATCACATAAGGAATGTTCTTAGAAAAAGAAAGTCGCACGGTAATTAAAGTGAGACTCTACAAGACTCACTTGTTTTTTGTTTTAACCTTTGTATCTTTTTTCTTTTTTGGCTTCATCTCATTTTGACTGCTCTGCATGTAGTCAGGTTTTAGCGATACCTTCACCTAGATGAGTTCTCTAAAACATATCACATGATGGGTGATGAAAAAGGTCTTTTTTTTTTTTTCAATTGGGAGAATATCAATAAAGGACTTTGAAAGAAACGAATTTTCTTAAAACTATTTTTAACAAATTAATAAGTGAAGTTATTGTTTTAGTATATAAGTATTCAATTTGTCCAAGATCCTTGCAATATATTAAATTCTTTCAAAAATCCTTTATTGATATTCTTCCTGCCCCCCCCCCTCTTTTTGCTTCTTTACCCGTTCAAGTGACTACTCAAAAGAGGATATTGAAAAATGACGTCAAAACAACAATAAAAAAAAACTTTATCTCACTAAATAAAGTTGGTTACATGGTATGCACAATATCATCAAAATACTCTATCATGAACTGACCATTCAGAAATACTAAAATTAGTGATGAGTAAGAGATGCACACCTGCAGGGTATGGAGTTGGATAGCAACATGAGGCAGGATAAGCCAATAGATATTCGGAAGGAGGATAATAGGCAAGTGGATACTGACCTACCGGAAGATAATCGGCCGGAGGATATCCGTTTGCCGGGTAGGAAGGTGGTGGATGGCTGCCCGGAGGCAGATATTGTGCTGCTGGATATGATACAGCAGGTGGAGGAGGATAAGGATATGAAGGATAACCATGTTGATTCAGGAATAGGCCTTTATCCTTGTCATTTTCACTACCCATGGCTTCAGTTTAAAATTAATTATGTTAAAATCTGCCATAGAAGTCAAAACTATAAAAGCTAAGGTACAACAAGTCAAAGTTCAATAATTGAATTACAATTAAGTTAAAATTATAGAACCAAATAATTAATTTTTAAAAAAAATAATCAAACTAGAAAAAACTATCTGCAATCCCAATAACATGATTTATCACATTCTTTAAAGGAACAATAAAAGAGCACGAAGTAGAAATGAGAGATGCATAAGATCCAGTCCCAATCAATTGCTTAAAGTTCATGAGAGTAATCTTCATTCTACAGCTGTGGCAATTTTTTTTTAGTTTAATATATATGATTTTTTCAATACTAGAAACAATTATCAGCCAACTATGCAGAACAGAATAGCATTATATATTATAGTGAATGGCTTCATTGGTCAAATATGAAAAACAAAAGAAAGTTATTTTCACAAGGAAAATCAACAGCCGCAATTTGATCTTTCTTTTTATGATGTTTTAGGCTAGGGCTGCACAAAGGACGGACTGAACAAGATTTCGGCCAACCTGAAATTTGATCACTTTCATGAAAAGAACTAAGTTAGGTAAGATATAGTTTAGTCTGGTCTAAACTTAACTCGAAGTTAAACAAAATCAGACTTGGTCATTAATTTATAAAACTGGGAGACTAGTTTTGGTAGTTCAGTACTTCACTTTGCTTTTTTTTTTCCCATCTCTTTTTCCTCTATGAAAGGTGACAATTGATTTCAAATTCATAACAACATTTAACAAACTTCAACATTATGTTTAAACTACATTACAACAAGTTAACAACAAACTTTAGCCAATTCTCATGCAATCATCTCCTCTAGCATCAACTGAATCAACTGTCTTAAAAATAATTATAATTATTTATATTAAAGTAATTTTATAGGATTGGACCAGAGTAAATGATCTAAAGGCTTGGTTCCCTATCTAGTTAACCCAAAGATGAAATCCAACATCATTGGTCTTTTTAATCCTTTAAATCATTTTTTTTTAGGATTAGACTAGATTGGGTTTGTCCAAGTTAAATCAAGTTGTAAGGATTGGAATACTTTTGCACGCATATTTTAGACAAAAGAATCAACAACATAGATAGACAAAAGCAAAATGGATGGTGCCCCATCATACTGCTATGAAAAAAATTATATCCCTGTTCAATGGCAAAAAATGATAGAATAATCATTTTTATGAACGAAAAACAGAGAAAAATAATCCTCTAAATACATGATGAAAGAATCATGCATCAAGTAAAAATTAGTAGCAATTTTATTCCTACAATATCCAACTCAGCAATAAATGTACACACTAGCATATTTAGTTCCCTAAGTAACAACAAGAACTAACATTGTAAATATATGAAACTTTATAAACTCGAAGCAATAAAAAAAATATAAGAAATACGAAAACATGCTAAAAATATTGGGACAATGTATTTTCTCAACGAAATATAGCCCGAAGGTTCCTTTTCTTCCTGAATATTCATTTTCATTCTCGCTTCTCCAAAAATGAGAGGAAAATATGGCACATGTAAACCCGTAATGAGTCAATCGAAGTTAAAACTACAGAATGAAAAGAACAACAACAACAACAATAACATTGTGATTATATACAAGAAAATATAGAAATTCCGATACCTTTCGAGAAAGGGGAAAGAAGGATTGTAACTCTAGTGAAGCCAAAATGAAACCAGCAAGCTCTGATAGTGATACACAGCTTCAGGGAATATAAATATAAATAAGGAAATAAAAAATTGTTGGCTTAATGAGTACTCAATTGAAAGATTAAAGACAAGAGCTTACCTCCAAAATATATTCTAGAGTAGACGAGTACCAATCGAATTGAAACTTTGCATTTTTCTCTAATCGTTGGATCATTTTAAAATCAGGCTTCGATTCCACTGTTTCCACCTTTTTTTTTTTATCATCATATACAATAATACAATGCAAAGGACATATATACCACAATATTGAAAATGGCCGGTACCGTTGAAAAAGTATTTTAATTGACTTGATGAAATGTTTTTGGTTATAACTACTTGATTACCATGATTTAATTATGATTTTGATAATTAATTTTTTTTGGAAGAAAAGTAGCACATCAATAAGTAAACATTCTACATAACAAGAAATACAAACTCAAAAGATAAAGAGGAAAAAAAAAAGAAAAAACTCTTTCATCATTTTCCATTTCAAAACTCAAGAGGGAGGATAATCAAAGGATTATTAATTTTTGAACTAGTGCATTGACCCATTTAATAAAGGGTGCGATTTTCAATGACATGGAGAATGCGGTTAGGCTTGATGGGTGAGTTTGGGTTTTTAAAATTAATAATTAATAATACATCCTCCATTTTTATTATAAGCAAAAATACCATATGATTCATTTTTTTTTTGTAAACAAAACAACAAATTTAAAGAAGTATTTATTATATTTATATCAAATTGTCCATCGTAAATAAACAGCATCGTTAATTTTTAAAAAAATGAAAATTAATTATAAGGCCATTTTAATCCAAAATTTTCAATTTCATACATAATTATTAAAATTATTTAACTTTCTTGAGTTGTGTGAATTAATTAAAATTTACTTTTATTTGATAATGGATGGATCGGAGCATTAATCAACTAATATCAATATCTTCTATAAGACACTTTGGATAGAGATTCCACATCTCAAAATATAAGATACTTTGAAAATTTTAAAGTTTTATTAAATAAGCTTATTTAAATATTATCATTTCCCTCTCTATTTAATTTCTGTCCATTTCTCATTGATCAATACATTAAATGAAGAATATTTTTAAAAGTTTATATTTTTATTTTGAAAAAAATAAAATTGCTAAATGTATTTAATGAGACTTATTGGTATGTGAGATTTTATCCAAAAGTATCTTGTAATTTAAAATAGAGGTAGTATAAAATATAAATTCTATAAAATTTTACTATTTATAAAATATAAACTGGATGCCTTATCTTAAACCATGCAATCAACAAGGCACAGGTGTCTATCTTTAATTTACTTTTATGTTATAAATATAATACCAAAAAATGTCAAATTAAATACAACGGGTTAATATAAAAAGCAAATTTTACCGAAGTTTAGACAAAAACATATTAAATTGTTGCTGATTGCTAGTTTGTGTTTACTTTTTAGCTCTGTGTTGGTTTTCGTTTGTATCTGGTTGCAACTAGTTGGTCCTCTTTTTTCTGACCTAACTTGCATGTAAGTGTAGTAGTTGAGTCATTTGACGGCGTACTAACTTTTTTTGTATTTTTATATAAAGTTAAATGATAAAAATATTCTAGAATTTTTTCTTTAATGGTACCTAATATTTTAAACTTTTTAAAATATTTTTGTTCAAAAAGTTTCAAAAATAGAGTATTTTTGTTCTACTATTAAAAATCATAAATGTTGACTGTTAACTTATGTTTGATTAGGGTATTTTATGACTTTACCCTCCTTTGGTTTTGCATTTTTGGGGTCTTTGTTTTCATTCTTTAAAAGAAAAAATGTTAAAGAATTCATTAAAAAATGAAATCGGAAACTAAACATAGGAGGAAGGGAAAAATATATAAAAATATCTTTGGTCAAACATCAATTTAATGATCAATGTTTGCGATTTTTGACGACGGTGCAAAAATACTCTGTTTTGAATCTTCCAAAGCAAAAATACTTTAAAAAAAGTTTAGAATGCCAAGCATTTCTGGAGAAAAAATTTCAGGATATTTTTTTCCTTTAACCCTTTTATATATAAATGTAAAACGTTTTTATCAAAAAAAATATTAAATCATATTTTTATTAATTATCAAAAGTAATTACCAAACCAAAAAATATGTTTTATTATATTAATTTGAAAATAATTTTAGAATTAAAAAAATTAATTGATACTGGTAGTCATCCATAGTTAATAGTAGTGGCTTATGATAGTGATTTTCATTTTTTATTTTTGAAAATAAAAAATAAAAACAATTTTAAAACTATTTAAATTTAAAATACTTACCAAAATAATTTTTAAATATTTTTTAAAAAATAAAACAATTCTTTATAATTACGGCTAAGCCTAAGTCTTTTTTCATACTGTTTATCATTTTGTTATAACTGTTGGCGGTAATTTCCCCAGGTACATTGGTTTTAAATTCTGGGAGTGCAATATTAAATTAGATTCATATCCCATCCCAAAAGAACACTTTTTATAAAATAAAGCATATTTTTCTATTATATAAAAGATTTAATTTCTTGCACGAAATGACGAAACATGTACACATACGAAAACCATATGCGCTCACTAATCCTTGAATGGAGCAGACAAGTTTAATAATGTGCTTGGCTCATAGAAGAAAGTGGGAAGGAGAGAAGATGAAAGGAATATAATTTTCTCTTATCATGTTTGACTGAGTGAGAGAAAACAAAGAGAAGAGGAAAGTGGTCAATTTTATATTAACAATAATAATCCTTTATTTATAAAAACATTTATATGACAGAGTTTAATAATTTAATATATTATATATAATACTAATTTTTATCATATATTATTGATTGGATAAAAACATAATTAAAAATTATTTCATCCAATACTAACAATTTTTTTCAATTTAAACTTCATTTATTAAATTATTAAATATATAATAATCTTAAAATTTGAAACTACTACTTAACTAAAAATTAACCTGGAAATTTAGAATTAACATTTATTTAATTAGTCTATAAATATACTGCTTGTTTAACAAAAATTCATGATCAAAATGTAACTACACTACAAATAGCATGATAAAAATAGAAGGAAGCAAGGGGTGGCAACAAAAAAAATTGGTGGCTTAAATTTCAAAATGAAATTTTCTCTCCAAAATCTTCCCATATTTGAAGAGAAAAGTTAGAGGTAAAAATATGTGAGCCTCAAATGTTATTTTCTTCCCACTTTTCTTTTCCCTCCACTTTTCTCTTCGTAGCCAAGCAGGGGAAATTTTGTCTTCTCTCCACTATTCCCTTCCATTTTTCTCTTCCCATCTCTTTTCTCTCATGCCAAGCATAGAAAAAAAGTCATATTTTTCCCTCTCCTAGGGATTTCTTGTGTATCTTTTCTCTCACAATCAGTGAGAGTTAATGTTTTTTATTACCTTCTTTCTGCAAACTTCTCTCGCCGACTTTTGCCAAGAAAGGGATATTCAGCATGGGTGCATGTGTGGCTGATTTTCTGTCTCTTTTCGTCAGTATGAGTTGTTTCTTCCTTTGATCTAACTCACTGAGAAAGGAATTAGGATTTGATTGGTGTTTGCGAGGTAGAGGTCTATATGGAGGAATGGTGATTTGGGCAATAGTTAGTCACGAGTTTTTTGACTTCTTGCAGGCTAAGAGATATGAGGTTTTTTGGATATGGATATTGATGAGTTGAGTTTGTTGTTGGGGTCTCGACTTAGGCATCTCAATTTGATATACAATGATTTGCGGCAAAGATGAGGGTGCTTTTTTGTGATGCTAATTGTTGATTTGTCATCATTGCTTGTGGTTTTGGTTATCTTTACATGAAATTTGATGCATGAAGGTGGTAAATATGCTATCTAAATAGTAGTTATTGTTTGCATAGAGATGAAATTGTTAGGATAGTTTTGTAAACTGTAACACTCTAAAATTATGACCGATTTATTTCCAAAACAAATATAATTAATAATAATTATTGTTTGTAAACCATTTATCATGATAGGAAAGTATCTACCATGACAGTAAAAGTTATTTTTTAAACACTACCATAATAGTGAGTAGCTTATCCTACTAGAAAGAACAATAACCATCATTTCAAAACCCCACCATAGTAGAAAAGAATCTACCATGGTAATAATAACCAAATTCACATTTAAAAGGCTTATCATTGTAGCAAGAATTTTCCATACACAAATAATTTTCAAAAACAACTACCATGGTAGAAAAAATTAAACAAAGTAATTTAAACCTACCATGATAATTTAGGAAGCAATTAAGTTAATTAAAGGAGCACCAAATGGGATCCCATTAAAAATAAATGTTTAAAATCCAAAATGATGTTCTAAAACTCAATTAGTGGTTAAGCATATTTTGAAGGGGTTAAAGTGTTCTAGAACAAGTTTCAAAAGGGTAAAAGTGTCCAAAAGGACCTTTCTGAAAACAATTTTTGAAACAAGAACATTTATGTCTTGTGTGCGTTATCCGCTACAGCTAACGTTGTCCCTGCCGTAATAGACAACGCACAGTAGAAACTCCTCAAAGGTGACTTGCGCTATAGCTAAGAAGGCATACATTACAATGCATGTGGCACACCAGTACTTAATCAAAATGAATAGTGAGCCTAAATTTTAAATGTACGCAACTTTTGCATACTTATCCAAATTGAATTATTTAAATATCCCCACAAAGCTTATCACATAAATTAGCTAATGGCTTTAGTTTGGTATAAAAATTTCATCATATGAAAAATGTTGAAAATTGTGCCTTAGAGCCAATCATTGTACTATGCATATTGTTATTTAATGAATTTCTCTTTTATTATCATAACAATTGCGTGTTCAATATGATAACTATATCCTTGGACAAACTATAGTGATTGTCATAAATGTTTCTGGTCAGTCATCTATGAGGGATTATAGATGAAACAAGACTAGTATGACTTTGATTAATTATAGAGATAAAAATTAAAGTTATAGGAATTTAAAAGAGTACAAAGTGCTGGATCGACCCACTATAAGAAAGTAGCATGGTACAAGTCATAAGCTTATCTCAGA